AAATCAATTATACAGCATTCTTATTCACTTTACATTAATTTTAAAACTTGAATGCACTTACTACACACACTTTCTTTAATAAAACAAGTACACATTTTAGTTCCACATTTTACATTATAAACTTAAATTTTTCCCCATTGCGTAATCAATAAACTATATAGTTTATTTTTTTCCTAAGCAATATTGATTCATAAAGAAGGTATTTTTACTGATGTAGGTAGTTATTTAAATGTTTTAGACAGGAAATTATTTGAAACAATCAAAATAGACTATGTCTGAAAATATATCAAGTAACAATTAAGCCCTAATTTACTACTTTGTATGATCTGAAAGATCATTTTTGTAATTATAGTACTTATTTTTATGGGCTACTGTAGGACGCTATAATATTACGCTGATACTTGGTAAAGTTGTAGTTCTCAATTATTTACTTATTCATTGTGAGCTACCCTGATGTGTCTGGTATTAACTTTTGAAAATCAGTGAACACAAAGTAGCCAGCGAAAAATATCTATTTTACTGTTTATACAATTAATTAATAAGAATATTTTTCTGGAAGGACTTTTCTATGCAAAAGATAGATCACACATATTTACGGTGTCCCGTTAGCGCCATCGCGACACACATATAACTCGAAACAACGAAATTACGAAGGCGAAATGTCGAAATAATGAAACCACGACCTTTAAAGCTCGATATAACTATGTGTTTTCACCTACGTGCTTTCGACCTTTAACCATTGTGGTTTCGTTATTTTGACTTTTTATTTTTCTGGAAGGACTTTTCTATGCAAAAGATAGATCACACATATTTACGGTGTCCCGTTAGCGCCATCGCGACACACATATAACTCGAAACAACGAAAATACGAAATTACGAAGGTGAAATGTCGAAATAATGAAACCACGACCTTTAAAGCTCGATATAACTTCGTGTTTTCACCTACGTGCTTTCGACCTTTTACCATGGTGGTTTCGTTATTTTGACTTTTTACCATGACCGTACTTTAGACTTTTCATCATCGTATTTCGACTTCACCATCGAACTTTGGACTTTTCATCATCGTCGTTTCGACTTTTGACCATCTTACTTTACAATTTTCATCATCGTGGTTTTGACTTTTCACTATCGTAGCATTGCCTTCCTGTATGACATTTGCACAGAGATCATAACAGTGGATGACGATTTAAGAAAATATCTTTATCAAGGATACATTTACAAAGAAATTATATTGTTTATGTATTTGGATAACGATGTTAGCATAAGGTAAGTAAATTGTGCAGTTGTGCTTAATTTTAAACGTTAACTGTTTTAGACTACTGGTGACATCTTTATACAATTTTATTCAATAATTCAATATTGTCAATCAGTGCAAGTGTTTTAAAGGAAGGCGAAAATATGATGATAAAAACTCGAAAGTACAATGGTAAAAGGTCGGAACAACGATAATGAAAAGTAAAAAGTACGATAGTGAAAGGTCGAAGTAACCAAACCATTGGTAAATATGTCAAAAGTATGTTGGTGAAAACACGAAATTAAATCGAGTTTTCACCATCCAGGTCCGTTTTTTTGACATTTCACCATCATACTTCGACGTTTTACTATCGTGGTTTCACCACCACATGTTCGTTGTTTCGTGTTACGCGATGGCCCTAACGGGACACCGTACCGTAAATATATTCATACCACATATGGTAATTAAAATCATATACATTCAGAACAATATAATTTAAGGTTTTATTAATCTGTTTAAACTTTAAATAACACTTCAGAATGTCAATCAAAACTAAAACAATTGTAATACAGGCATCGAGGTCTAATCAACATACAGGTTGTAACTGGTTGTAACTACTAACAAGTACGATATCATTGTCAACTAGAATGATGAAATGTCCCGCATGCATAGTTACTACACCAGTAACCAGTATATAGTATAGCAGTGTTAGTAAATTAATTATAACATTTAGAAGTCATTGTGTACCTAAAAGATGACAGAAATGTGTTTGTTTTTTGCTTGCTTTGGTTGTCTGTTGTTGTTTTGTTTGTGTCATTAGACAGTGTGAGAGTCCCTTCGTTCGTTTGTTTATTCGCTTAGTCTGTCGTTCATGCGTTTGTTCTTTCAGTTGTTTGAAGTTTAAATTAGACATTATAGCTTAACAAAGGGTCTACCATCAGAAGTACAATGATATTAATGCAATTATTTCTTAAATTAATTAATTTTGATGTTATAAAGACCTATTGATAGTTTATAATTATACATATTTATCTATTTAATGGCTTTATGTCAAATTTACCAACGCCAAAATGACATTCGATCAAATGATAGGAATTGAAGCCAAAGGTATGAAAGACACGGCACGATTAGTGTCACTTGTCGCAAGCCAAACTTATGATACAATCTTTTAATATAAAAAAATCAGTGTTGAATTCAGTTTAAGTCTTAAGTTGCTATTGAGATCTACGTGTTCTGATAAAGTTAATTAAACTTCAAACATTTGACATTGAAGAATAAAGATAAAAACCTATAAAGAAATATAATAAAAAGAATATGAAATACAATGCAAACACAAGACAAACATAAGTTTTTTAGTTCAACCATGTCGTCCACATGTATGAATGTGAGATGTTTGATTTTTGTTTTAACATTTTTGTAAACTGTAAGGGCCTAAAGATATGTTAACTTTTTCGTAAATGCCGGTTATTATCTATCATCATCCTCCTCATCATCATTATAACTGTCATAATCATCATAAACTATTGCCGTCGTCGTTGCTGTTGCTGCTGTTTCTGTTGCTGTTGTCGTCTTTGTCGTTGTTGTTGTTGTTGTTATCGTTGTTGTCATTGTTGTTGTTGTTGTTGCTCAATTTTCTCCTTTAAATGCATTACGTCAAATTACTTTCATATTTAATTGATACATTTATATTTATAAATATATGTGATGTATTTAAACAAGAATGCTAGTGAATTATACCATTGCTAGCTTACAAATGATAATGAGTTCATGCATAAATCACGCTTGAACTCGTGCATGGAATTGCAACGTGTATTTCACGCCTGATCTCATGCATATATATTGCCATTATTAGGGTTTTACTAAATCAGTGAACTAGTGATTGTCATTGCACGGTTAATAATAACATGGTGATGGTGTCATTTAAACATCGACAATAAAACCGCTGTTAGAAATATTGATAATCAAGTATATATTCAAATAGAAATACAAGCTGACTAATTTAAACCTCTTTAATTGAACATAACTAAGTTTTTGTTATTTTACATGGTCACTGTGGTACTTCATCAGATAACTTGTGTTGTGTTATCATGATCCATCTTTTATTGAAGTGTAAATGAAAGACACATTGTCTCTTTATAATTGTTAAGACATAATTACACCCTTTATCATCATGGTTCTGAAATTGATCCCGACAGTGGTATTTTTTGTCATTGATGTCTGTGAAAACTAATGGACAATTATATACATGTATATGCATTGATTCTTCAGTCTAACAAACTTTAATAATCATCGAATTTTTGAACATGTATCAGTTGAATTTATTTGTTAACACACTTTATTCATTTTTTAATATATTAACCGGCACAAGTCATAATTAACATAAAATTTGAAATTAATGTAGCGTTAAATGTCTCTTCATAGTTTTGGTATTCAATCTATCATGTAATGATAATAACTCAGACAACTTCTACGCTATCTGTATCTAAAAGCTTTCCGCAGTCAAGTGCTTAAATAACTTGATATATGCGAATGATTCTATCCACATCCATAACACACACCCAGTACAGGAAAAAATGAAGCTAGAAAGACACCGCGTGCCCTTTACCTTATTGTCAGTGTTAAAACCCAACTAAGATATTTCTAAAGCTATGACTTTTGTTCCTGATCTTATCGGCATAAATAACATCATGAGAATACACAAAATAACAAAATAGAGTTTTTTTCACAAGTTACATGAAGCTGGGTCAGATTATTTTAGGAGCCGAATTATGGCTATCTTTAACTTAAACTATGTCCAGAAAAAAGTACTTATTTAAACAACTGAATACTAAAACTAATAAATATGGTCAAAGTAAGGACTTTTGGACTAATAAAAAATATTTTTTTCGGTGACTGATGTATTTGTTTAACTTAGCGCTGACACCGGAAAAAACATTTTATCAGAAATGAAATGGCTTTCCGTCATAAAATTGTCTTTCAGGGCAGTTGTACAAGATTTATGTAATTTCGAGATTCTGTTTAACTGCCTCTATGTACATAAGAACGTGTCGGAATTATAATATTAAATGTCGACGGCGTAATAGCCCGGCGTCCATGAAAGTGCTTTTAACTTCGTGACTTCATGAGTATATCTTTTATGTTGCAAATTATCTGTTAACTCTTTAACGGACATGACGAACAAAACGTAATTTTTCATATTTGTTTTGTTACTGCATTGTAGATCAATAATCACGTGGAAACGAAGTGATAAGACTGTGTTTTAATGTAAATGATCATCGCCAATACAGTCAAAGATCATTATAATAGATACCAAATAATTTATCAACAAAGTATTGTTATATTCAATCACTTTAAACGGATACATATTTTACGAACAATTTCGGCATTGAATTTCAAATTACCCTGGCAAAGTGTCAAAGTCATCTTAAAGGCACGGCTCATGAATTGGGGACTGATCGTTTACATCCATTGATATTATCAGGTATCTTTATTGTCATATCCAACAAAGACATTCAGTCTTTTAATTTATTAAACTATTTTACGTGTTAAACAAAAGACACAAATTACGCCTTTAAGTGTAGATTTTAGTTTTATTTAATTTTTTTGTAAGGAGAGGATCAGATTTCATGAATAACCTTTTAGTAAAGTTATTTAAATCGTACCATTTTTATTCTATCAGTTCACTTTATTAAAGAATATCAGTCCAATATTAACAATTTACTTGATTAAACTTGAAACAGATAAAGAATAACTGAATACTAATGGATGAATTATTTATATACTTTCATGGGTTTCGACAAATCGCTTAATCAAATTACCCGTTACACAATTGAAAAGAGTATAATTATAAAAGATGTAAAAAATAACAACTGATTCTATTCTGCACAACTGTTGCTGTTTTTGTTTGTGATTTCTTGTTGTTTGTTTGTTGTTTTGTTGTAGTTGTTGTGTTGTTGTTTTTTTTCTTCGATACAAAACCTTACTCTAAAATAAAGTGACTGTAATATTGAAAATATCAAGGATCTTACACAACTTATTATCTCATGGGAAAGTTATAAAATAGGAAATAAGAAATACAAATAACAGCACGCTGTTATATTCCGTGGTTGTCATAGGACAATGATGTATATGATTATGCAAACACATAATCGATATATAGATATTGAACTAGGGCTATAATCTCATAAAAATGCCCTTAATTTCACAATTTCACAATTCATGTAATTTTTTTACAGTCGGTTAAAATTCGCAAATTTCAAAACTCATTGTAATTGACGAAAAAGGTATAAATATTTTACGACACAGAAAGACACCAGTAGACAAAAATATTAGAAAATGTTCTGTTTATGCAGTTTATTAGAGAAATATTAGAAAAAATATCTACTGTATTAATCGTTACAATATTTTTACTACAACAAAAATAATTGATTCTAAACAAAAAATGATGAATAAATAAAACAATTACTACTAAACACAAAAGTTTAAGTGTTTAACATAGAACAATAAGATTATCTAGAGTCCTGAGGTTCAAAGCGCTTTAGATTAAAAAGTGTCCTAATTCCTCCGATATTCGGAACACAATTAATTCTGTTCTTTTGTGCAGTTCGAAGGTCATAAAAACAGTATATTTGCTTTTTCATATGACGTTTCCAACATGTCTAGAATAATATGTTCATCACACGTATTTCATTATTCTAATTTTGTCAAGATCACCAACCCAGATGTGACCTCTGTTGTCAACAGCAACTGCGTTTGGTTTATTTAGACTGTATGTGAAAGGAAGTGGCTTTCCTTTACTATCTAACAAGTGAAGAGTATCATCTTTTAAATCCGAAAGTATTGTAAGGCCATGCGCATCACAAGTAACGCCGTCTGCTGTTCCTGACGCTGTATACGTATATTTCGTCATTCCGTCAGAATTTATTATAAGGTACTTGGCTGACACACCAGTTGATATAACAAAGTCACCATTAACCGTATGGCAAATTCTAAATAGACCCAATCCTCTATTTATACGAATTTCTCTAATCTTTCGCCCAGTTGTTGAAAATATTAGAACCTTGGCATGGCGCATTTGTTTTATTTTCGTTACCGGAACATCGTTACCTACTACAATGACGTTAGAACCATCGCGAGAGGTTGTGATGCCCCTTAAGTAAAGATCTGTCTTTGCAAAATAAGAATCAAAATGAGTTTTGTGAAGTCTTCGTATTGCCATCCCATCATATTCTGTCATTAAAACAGTCCCGTCATTCAATGTTGTCATATCGTCTATATCAAACTCTGTTGTCTCAACTTGAAGAATTCTGCCTTTCAGGTCAAATCTCTGGATTTTATTCTTGTAACCGTTACAAACCCATGATGTAGCATCGTTCTGTGTTGTTATCGCTGTTGTGCTTCTGAAGTTCTGATCTGTATTAAACGTAGAGACAAGTTGCAGTTCTATGGCGGGAAGAGGAACGAAAAGACCTTCTGCTGAAAATTTCAAATCACCAACCGCTTGTTGAATAGCTATTTCATCAATATCTCCCCTAGCATATGTCATTCGTTTCCTCCATAACTTGTCCGTAAAAGAAGGGATATCTGCAGCTGAATTAATAACGAAAAAAAGATTGATCATTTTCTATATATTTTCATTGAACTTACAAAATGGTACATTTGTATTTCCTGTTCACCTCACCCATGCACAAGGAAATTAAACCATGCTTGCTTATTGTTAAGATATTAGTACATGTAATGTATTATGCGTCTAAAACCGTTCATTTTTGGGGGATTGTAAAAGCGGCCGAAAAGCTCAGTCGGAAGTGCCAATGGACTGTGTTCCAAGGGTCTCGGGTTTGGGGCTGAACATCTTAATCACCCTGTGACATATGTATTACTCATACTTGACAACTAAATAAGCCTTAAAATTAAAAAAAAACAGATATAAGAAAATATATAATACCTCTAAGACTTTCATTCAAATTATGGCTTGAATTGATGAAAGCTACATCAGTTGAGGTATCCATTTGAATGGACGCACTATCAAGCAGGCCTTTGATGTTTTCTGTCTTCTTTTTCACTTGTTCTAAACAGTTATCTAGTTTTGATATAGATTCATCATGTTGTTGTCTCACTGTTTGTATTAAATGACCAGAATGTTCATCAACGATATCTTTAATACGAATAGCATGTTGTTTTATGTCATGTGTTGTGTTTTCAGTTTCTTCTTCAAGAGTTGCCTTTCGGTTCTTAATTTCAATTGCCTCGGCTTTCAATCTGGCAAGATGACCTCTAGCAGTTGTCATGGCTGTTGTAACTCTTATTTTCCTTTCATCTACAACTTCTTTCAATGCTGTAGTAAGATGGCCTTCGTGTCCAATAACTTTGCAATCCCGGCAAATGGATACATCACACTTCTTGCAATGAAACTTAATTTCTTCGTGTTGATGTTCATCACAATAAACTTTAACTTTCAGTTTATCATTTGCCGCCCTGATAGAGGGCATAATGTTAACATGATGATCCCGACCCATTCTCATTCTAAGATGTAACTTGTTACATTTTTCACAGAAATATTCATTGCATTCGGAACACTTGTAAAAAGCCGGGCTGTCTTCACATACATCACAAATCACAAGGTCCGTTCCGAGAGGGTATCTTGCAATTTTCTTCGGATGTCTAGGCTCCTTTGGAAGTCGGATTCCGGCACGGCAAATAGGGCAGTGACAACGCTTTCCTCTACTGTGACGTAGAATATAATCTTCCAGGCAATGCGCACAAAAGTTATGAAGCCCAGGCAAAAGCCATTGATATTCAAGTTTATTTCTACAAACATTGCATTTCATCGGGTTACCTTTAGTTAGATGTACACTTGGTGCTGATTTTGAATTCCTTGACATGACAGATGAAGGTCTTGAAAACGTCGGTGGACTTGGACTGTGTATCCTGGATGTAGGTGTCGGACTCAGAGCAGTGTAACGCGTCATTTGTGAGCTAGGTCTCGAAAACGTAGTTCTATTTTCATTCGCTGTGTAGCGTGTCATCTGAGAACTCGGCCTTGATAACGCCATATTAATTTTTAGCGTATTTTGATGATATTATACACTTTTAGCAGCTACATGTGATTCCTCATTAGATTTAATTTAATTCATCGTTATCAATACCCAGTGTACACCTTTACTACATAATACATCTCTATCCATTCTCAGGAAAGTATTAATATATCCATAAAGATAGATTTATTGTTAAAATAAATTTCACAGACGTCTATTATTGTGAAACCAGATAAATACATTGGTCACTACACCTATATCAAAGTGCCATGCTATGTGCTCTCTGAATTCTAAATGTCTTTTAAGACTATTGTTCTTTATCACGTCACTTTAAGCATCGCTTATCCTGATTTTTTTTATCAAAACTGTACTCTAACATAAGACAATCCCTTACAAATGTTAATTGTTTCAATATCGTAGGACAAACAATATTGTAATTCAAGTCCATTTTCATAACAAAAACTATCAGATAATTTTCGACCACCGTAGATTGAAACTATAAAACATATTAAGATAATATGATCATATTAAAAAAAATATATTAAAATCAGATGTAACAGAAAACGACTTAACGATAAATGTAGTTTAAAATCAATACATCGGCAGTAATTAATAGAACACACTTGACTTTCAAAGTCTTCCGAATGATTTTTAATAATTCATATTTTTGTGTGCATAAAATCTGATAAAATTCCGTTAAATAATTTGCTCGCGATCAATGCCTTTATAAAATGAGACAAAGATTGCTATTTGACGCAAATTTTTACAAAAGATCTGGTCATGTTTCGAATACAAATAGTTTTACATCGATAAACATCAAATCCATGTCTCATATTTCTATTAAGATCTACTATGAAACAATAAAGTTTACATAGACAAGTATAAATTATTGATCTTCTCTCAAAAAGATGGATTTGTTTTAGCTTTATAGATACAAAAATAACAACGGATTTTATAATAGTGAATTAGAAAAAAACGTATTTAAAAATGAGACGATCGAAAAAATAAAATGGATGATAATTTTTGCAAGTATTACATAAAAGTATAACTATTTCATAAAAAAACAAACTTTTAAATGGCAACGCGTAAACGCAATGATACAAAAGAGCAAGATATCTCTTACTTAGAATCAGGAATACACGTTTTGTCAAATATGAACGACACGTTTCTTAACACTCTTTTGGAGTTATCTGAAAATGAAAAATTATCAGAGGCGAGACCACCATCTGTACAGCACAACAGACCAAGTTCTGTACTGTTTTCGCGTCCACCAAGTTCTATACTTGTGTCTCGGCCTCCAAGTGCGGCAATCTATGGAAGACCACCAAGTTCTTCAAAGAGACCAAGACGTCCGCCTAGCACAAGTACTTTAAGACCACGACCGCCGAATTCCGAACATCCTGTTCGACGTCCACCAAGCGTTTCTACGATTGCTAGACCATCCAGTTCACTACGAAAGCCAAACTCTCTAAAATGTAAAGTATGCGCGGAAGGATTTCGATTTCCAGGAAATACACCATGTTTCGATCATTATTGTGCCCCTTGCCTGGAAGATCACATATTATCATTTAAACGAGGTACCGGGTGTGATTGTCCATTATGCAGTAGTGGTATACTTCTTCCACTTAATAAATTCAAAACAGAAAACAAGAGATATTCAAATAAATCTGACCTGAATGTGTGTAACAATTGTCAAGATGCTCGACTTGCACAATACAGATGCGGGTCATGTGAAGAATTTTTCTGTGAGAAATGCAATAGAGAATTTCTTAAGAGGATGCGGATAGACGGCAGCTTTAGCAACACGCATCTTACAGATCTTAGTGGAGATAATGCAATACCTCTCGTAATGCCCGGTGCTGATCTGGATGACGACTCATTAGACTCTATTTCTTTACCTTCTCTACTTCCAAAAGGTTTTGGTTTAAGATGTAGTGATCATGAAGAAGAAGAGCTGAGATTTCATTGCAAACCATGTGATAAATGTATCTGCAGAGATTGTAAAATTCTTAGTCACGAAGGTCACGAGACATTAGGATTGGAAGATGTTTACGAAGAGAGAAAACACCATCTGTCACAGGCCTTAAAACTATCGAATGCCAATATACGTAAGCTTCATTCAGAGTGTGCTGAAATCAATTCTAAACGCCTTGAAATTGATCAAGAATCGAGAGACGCAGTGTCAAAAATTGAAAACCATGCTAATGAGGCAAAAAGAATGATAGATGAATGGGCAAAATCGATGATAAAGACAATAAGAGTACAGAACACCCAAAGTCGGGGAAAGTTAGAGGAATGTAGAGATATTGTTAAAGAAAAAGTGAAATCCCTTCAATCACTAGTTGAGAAGGGGACGGAACTGCTGGAAACGGACAATGGAATAGATATTGTTGAACAAGCTCCTAGACTGACAAAAGCTAATAAAGGTAATAAGAATACTGCAATACCTATACATTCTTATCTTTTATTTGATTTGTTTGTTGTTTTTTTTAACATTTAATTATTAATTTACTAAGTGATGTTTAAATCAAATTGAAATATAAAATACTGGTGATACACTATTTTACATTTTTTATATCATAGATTATTAGCATTGATTATGACTGTAGCTATACAGAGTGTTTTCTTTATTCAGATGCGGATATCGCACCCACCGCAGATAGATTATGGCGGAAGAAGTATGTTTTCCAACCAACAGATTTAAAGAGCTCATACTCAAAGCAGATGTTTGGTAAACTTCAAACAATAGTTGAAGGTTTGCTGCATGAAACGCCGTCTGTAGAATTAGAGGTAAATTAAAAATTTGTAATCATAACTAAAGATTGTTATATGTTCATTTATCAATGTTAAATCAGTCACCTTACATAAGATGATTTCAATTTGCCAGCCTGTATTAAACTGTTAAACCGTTACCGTTATAGTAAATACAAATAATATCTTACGAGCACAAAAGTACTCAACATACAATTTGTAACATACGGGTGATACATGTATTTTCTTTTACAAAGGTACAGACCACATTTAACAGTGACCAACAATATAAGAGTACAACCGCTTTGGCTCCAATGTCAGATGGTACTGTATGGGTCTGTAATAGTTTCAAGAACAGGATACAACAGTTCGATGCTGAAGGAAACCTCCTCCATACTGAAACACTGCACTTTGACGTAGACGACATGGTTGATGGACGCTCTGACGTATTATTCATGACAGAGTTAAACGGCAAAACTATCCGAAAACTAAACAAAAATAATAAACTATCAATTTTTGCCAGAGCTGATCTGTATTTGCGTGGTATAGCAGTATCTAAAGATGGAAAACATGTGATCGCTTGCGGTAACGATGTTCCGGTTGCCTGCCTAAGAGAAGCAGCTGTTGCTAAAATATATTTGTTCAACATGGCGGGAAAACTGACAAAAGAGTTCACTGTTGATACTGGTGTTAAAGGAGTAAGCTTGTTCCGCATTAGTAACACTATCAATGACGAATATGTTGTATCAACTGGCGTCTCTGCTCTGTATTACATTTTTGGTGAACACGGTGAATTAAAATACCGATATAGAGCTGCAAGCTCCGCCGATGGAGTTGCGTGTGATGCGCATGGTTTGATATATCTATCAGCATGTAAAGACGACACACTTTATATTCTCGACTGCAAAGGAGTACCCATACCTTCTACATATGCAATGCATAGGCCAACAGCCGTAGCTATAGACCGCAATGACGTCATCTGGGTTGGTGATTGGAGCAAAGTTCATGTTCTGAAGTACAAAAACTAATTGAACTATAAACGACAAAAAAGATATATCAGTAAGAGACTGTTGAGATATTATTTATTAAAAAGGAATTATAGACTAAATAGTGTCCGAGCTTTTCCGTAGTTGAACTGAAAGCGAGGAAGTCAAATTAAGAACGAAAGTCATTCAAGTCTTTGTATCTTGTAATTAAGTTGAAGTTTACGATTGATAATTAAAGTTCATTTATTGTAGCAGTTCTTTTTAGTTTTACATTTATAATTGTCCTGGAAGTACCGTAAATGGCTGTACTGAAGAATGGCGGAAGCCAATTAGTACTAAGCACAGATATCCAGTTGTTAAATCAAATTTGCCTATTCTGTACATGTTGATTAGGCTGTAAGATATAAATCAGTGTTCTAGTCACGGAAAAACCTATCATTTTCATCTAACGGATTGTTTATTTGTTCATGAAATGATTTAAGATTGTGATTAGAATAAATCAGATCTGGTCGCAGATGTCATTTTCTAGTAGTATCTTGATACTGATAAATTAGTCTGTGTGATTGATAGGTTTGACTTTTTTCTCCCAGACGGAAAATGTGATTCAAAGCTAATCTCCATTGTACTATGACGCAAGTTCTTTAACCAACTTATATCAATCATTTGCGAGACCTCTTCCGGTATTAATAATGTTTGGTATCATATTATAAAACATAGTCGTGACTGAAGTAAGTCACGAATCTGATATTGTCTCGTTACCATCGATATGTGAGTCCCCAAATGTTGGGAAATTGTTCCAACGTAAAAGGAAAGTTGATTTAACGCATTTTGATCAAAGCCAAGTAATTCTTGTAATGCTCTAACAATAGTAACCGATATATATCTAGTACGTTTGAAATGTATGGTGTCATTCATTCATTCCCATTCAATCAAAGCTCGGGCAAATGAAAATACATATATAACACGAAAAACATATGCATACTTTAAATAATTTCCATTTAAAGACGATGATTTTAAATCGCTTAAAACATATCATCAGTGAAATTTTCATATATTTTGAACAAAGTTTTATTGACATGAACAGCATGAATAAACACGTAAAAACATGTATCAGCCATATCAGCATATATAAGTATAAACATTCCTATAATAAATGTTCAGATGATGAAAAAAAAATCAACAAAAACTACTGATAATGCAGTGGAAGGGAGACAACTTGTAGTTTTATTGTTTTCATCCAAGTCGAGATTAATTACCCCTACATTGCTTAAATCTTTGTAATTTAAAAAGAAACAAGTTTCATATTATAAATTATGTTGCATAACACGTGCCAATCGCCAACTTTGTGAGATGTTTCGAATCGACATTTACACGTGCGGTCTTCATTTTGAAGATGACTAAAATTAAGCCCACAACTGTATCGCACAGAAGTTCGGCGCGTTGATGGACTACATCCCCCCTTACCAACTCTACAACCCTCCTTCCTCTCAAAACCATATAAATTGCAGTATTTTTCATTTGAAACATTTTGGTTGAAACATTAAATATTTGGTATAATGCTTTTAATTTAATTACCTGCATTCCCCACAAAAAAAATGATACATATATATTCAGTAAAGGTATGCAACTCGCCGCTCCAATTTCACCAATTTTCAAAATCTTGGTACCAAATGGTACGGAATTTATTAATCTTAAAGGAACTAAAGCTGTTATTACAATAATTTCAAGTGATAAGAAGATATGTTATTTCGAAATCACGGCAAATGTTAGTCGACACCGACCTGGCCGCTTGGCCATTGTGAATATTACCCGACTAAACGGCAGTTTATTCAAAATGAATGAATATTTCTTTGTATTCCGCATATAAAAATGATAAAATTATATAATTTTTTTGTAATAACTGTCCAATCAAAACATCAAATGAAACTAACCGTTTTTTCCGATTTGTCAAATTCCCAATCGTAATGCAAGTAACGGGTTCTGCAGAGTGCAGTGTACGGAGTATTTTCATTGGTCTTAGGTTTTCACATGACCAAAGAAAATACTTCATACGAATATAAAGGGGAGCTGCATCCTACTTTCATTTTAAATTGAGAATTTGACTAATCTGAAAAACGGTTCGTTACAGTTTCATATGATGTTCTTTCGATGGGGGTAGTGACCAATCAACGCGCCGAACACCCGTGCTGTGTAACGTATAAAAATGACTCTTTTGAAGATATGTTACCCATAACCTGTCCATGAACAATATGATCATTTTGTCTATCATATATCAATAGTGATTGTATGTTATATAACATAAAAAATCTTTTCACTATGCAACAAAGAGAAAAACTGAACGTTTTAAATAATACATTTGTGCATTTATAAGATTTGTTACTTTTGCGTTTAAAGAACTTTAGAAAAATAATTCATTGTGGTCTTTTACGTTTCCATAAAAAACTTGTTTTCCATCAGTAAATAGCGTGCTTTAAAATAAAAAAAAATGAAATGAGTTCAATATCTTGAAAAAGGAAGTATAAACAAACGATAACTAAATGGAAAATATGCTTGAAAACATTAGTACATGCAAATCTGAAAGGTCCTGTTATATCCTGTCTGAAATTTACCACAATGAGGGGCTGTTTTCAAAGTTTGCCTATTTTTAAAGGTAAATTGATTGATCTTGCAAAATATAAAATACTTTTACCGTGTAGTTTTTATTAGACTTTAAAAATATCTGGTATCATATTTGCTATTAAGTTTGGCATTATCTAGCAGATAAATACCTACAATAACAATATAATAAAAATGTTAAGAAAAAACTTTTTTCTTTCCCTAAGACTTATATGAGAAGCATAAATAATGTTAAAAAGAAAATAAAAGTATAAAAGAGTTGCCCCTTCTGGGGTTTGAACCAACTGATACTGGTTGCAAGTAATCGTCTAATGATTTTTTTTCATTTTTGAACATTTCTATACAGTGCTCAATTCGAATTGTCGAAACTGTAGACATGTCAAAATCTGACAATTTTATCTTTTCATTTAATGGTACAAAGTCGCGAATTCATCTCCAATTTTAAATATTTAGAGTGGTCTGTCGTCTTTAACAATACTATCAATATCTTCTTCAATATCGGTTTTAGTACAATTTTTGTTTGGTTAAATGATAAGGCACTTTGAAGATATCTCTAAATCCTGATAATTATTAAATAGTTGAGACATGTATAAACACTAAGTCTGTTTGCTAAGGGTATGTTAAGATAATTGCATTGCAGATGAACAGTTGTCATGTTCATGTTCAAACAAGATATTTATATTCAATAAACACAAATAAAATGATTTGGGTGCAGTAGCGGTAAAAAATGTTTTCCCAAGGTTGTTTATGACTATTTTCAGAGTTTACACACTCATGACAAGATAGTAACAGAAACTTTGCGACCGGTGGCAAACAAACAACATATCTTGTGTGTACCAATAAAGCATAGTTTATGTGTCGTTTGTTCAATAAAAACAAAATGTTGCTCATTCAAATGGTTCCATTTTTCTAAACGAAAATATATATAGATGTACTCAGCACAAAAATAAATTCTAGAGAATTACGAATATTATAATCAAAATTAAGAAGTCGCTAAACTTAAAGTAATGGTAGGTTACTATCAATACGTAAACAAGAATATTAATATTTGAATTACTCATGTGTGCCTAATATTTTTGTATTTGCTTTGATACAAAATCATAGGATTAGTAGTTATTCTAACAAATACATGCACCGTACATACATTTGTTTGTGAAACAAGCTCTTTTTAACTTATTTAACCCTTACCTAACTAAATATCTCAAATGAACGTGTCCATCTTTCAATCTGGACATAAGCATTTATCAATTTTAGGGAAAATGTCTGAAAAGCGAACAGCGCTTGCCATTATCAGAAAGCTTGGATATGTCAGCTGGTCTTGGTCATCACTGGTCGCATGGGTAGACTCGGTTGCCTGGAGCAGAATAAAGGTAAATCATATTGCGAGTAAGTTCTAAGAGCTGAGAAATGCAAATGTCACCCCGAGTGTTTTAGCAATGTCGTGACTCAAAAACTTCTCCAGAAGCTCATGACGACAATATCTCTTTTAAAAAAGGCAAAAACTTTATCAAAAGATGACCACATGTTACGGCGTCAGATTTGTGATTTAAAATATACTTTAAAAGAATTCTACAATATGTCACAGACATATAGAAGAATGGACAATAGGTGTGGACATGGCCATGGCGGTCAAATATAAACTTCACAAACTGCTCAAACCAATGTCACTCGAAACATTTAATACAAAAAAACTTAATAACTTTAAATGCACATTTAAGATTTAAACGCATTTTGAAATCATTTTCAAGGCCACCAGGCAGTCATTTCGAAATTTTCCCCGACTTTTATCAAATAATGTCAGAGGGCTGAAATACTTGATTTTTGAAGTGGTTCATTTAAGGCATGTTATGGGACCAGCTTAAAAAGTCACGTGACAACTGTTAAGGTAGAATTATAAGAAATGTTCATCATTCGAATTGTTAGACGTAACAAGGTGTCAGTATGTTTCTGTTTGTTCTTATCCTCGTTTTATTCCAACTGGCAGGTAAAATTTTGTTTTTATGAACTTATTCTTTCAGCTTCTTTCTGTTTGGTGTTTTAGTTTATAAATAGCTTGTAGCAGATATATCAACTATCAATTTAAAACAAAACTGAAGTTTACGTTACAAAAACTGATGAAGTTGTCTTTTATAAATTTAAACAATATTATTTAAGGGTCTACAATAGCGGATTGCAAACACACTATAAATAACCAGACTTGCAAAGCTACAACCAACAATAGCACCTGTGTAACAGCGGCGGAGAATGGAACTGAATTAACCTGGTTTGACATGCAGGCTAAATGTTCCGAGAATAATGGAAGCTTGGTACATTCTGAAGACAGTATCACTAAAACACAACTACTACTAAACAACTCGAGTGGGAACTTTACATATATTCGGACAGGCTTATTGATGTCCATAGACAATGATAATAAAACATTTTGGAGAGACCCAAAACAAAGTAAGTGTTTAACACTTTATTTATAACTTTATATTGCAATATCTTCTGATTCAGCTGCGGTAGACCATTTGAGAAAGGTATATGTCCTGTTTTATAATCAAGTTTTAAAGTTCTAAAGTAGATCTGCATGTATTTGTTTTAGTTCAAGACAATACTTACCTGAGAAAAGAAGACTAATGTAATATAATATTTCAACAGGTTATCTTTAAGAAGCGCATCTCAGTGTTAAATATACATATAGATAGTTAAGAAAGTTTCGATAGCATCATTGGACGTAACGTATAGAAACTCTATAAATACTTACGGAATACCGTTAGGGCAATCGTTGTTATACTTTTTAATCCAGAGAGCGACAATGCGACAGTGCGATAGTGCGATGACGACAATGCGATAGTGCGGTGGCTACAATGCGATAACGCGATGACGACAGTACGATAATGCAACAGCGCGATGGCGACAATGAGATAGTGCGTTGTAGCATTGTCGTTATGGCATTTTGGCACTGTCGTCATCGCGTTATCCAACAGTTGTCATCGGCACTATTGTATTGTCGCCATCGCGTTATCGCATTGTCGACTTTCACCTTCCGGTATGATTGGATGACTTTAAACTGCTAACGAATCAGCACTTTTATAAATAGATTTTTAGGGGGGAGTCCTTTCTCTTTTTTTTTTTTTTTTTTTTTTTTTTTTAGTATACTAAAAACGTCTGCATAAAATTATCTATTGATAATAAATAACATTTTATATCCAAAGATAGGGGAAATCCTTTAAGCGTTATACATACGCGGAAAATGTTATAACTTGCGCAAAGCTTTAATATAGTCGAAAGATTTCAGATGAAAATGATGTTATGTTGACATTTAAAAGATGCGAAAATGTAAAATCATTGCTTATTACTTACATAAAAAGATTTTGAATAACTATATTCATAGATCATATTGAAAAATATGCACAAAAATAAATTTTGTAATGGAGAATGATAATGATGATTATGTAAATTTGAACAGTCTGTGTAAAATACCAAAATGTACAAAATGAAAAACTCCTTATTTTAACTGGCCAGAAGTATATAATTTTTTTCTGGACAAATACAGGGATAGTCCATTAATAAATCTAACTGGTCAAAACTGGTCACAATAAAATACTGCTAAAATCTATTAAATTGTAATTGGTCATCAGTGATTTTATTGTTTAGTAGATGTAGAATTTGTTATTTACTGACATTGTTAATTTACGTGAAAACATAATTTTCTCTGTATACGTAATAGTGGTCAGCAATTTTCACTATAAGTTTAACTGGTCAGCATATTCTAAAATATTGGTGGGCATAGTGAGACAAGGTTTTTCAATGTTGAAGAACACATCTATCTTGCTATATATCCATTATATTTATTCCGGAAAAGTACTTTCTGATGTTTTTTTAGGGGAAACATGCAAAGTTCGAATAAACGACTACCTGCTAATAGGTAGTTGGGGATTACCAGCAAGTAGGTAATTGGTTATTCGATAATCAAACTACCAACCACCTAACCAAATTGACGGTCCTTGTACTATATACATTTAGGTTTTTATCAATATCTAAGATGGGACCCTTTGTGGTGTTGCTTTTATATTTCTTTAAGATAGTAAATAAATATAATTAAATAAAATAAATCGCTGGCCAGTTAAGATTTACTAGATTCTGTGTCTACCTGTTTCATATAAAGTCAAAGTGATTTTAGCTCAACAACGAGAAACTGCTGATGCATATAGGAAAATGATATTTGCCGTGTTTTATAATGTTAGTAAATATTACATTTTGAAATTGTTTTGTGGTTTATGTCATATATTCTGTTTATACTATATGATCAGCAGATTTAACGTACTGTGCGTCATGCGAAAAAAATGGTGATCAGTTAAACGTATAGTAGAATCTGCTGACTAGTTTAACATATAAAGGACTCTGCTGATCAGTTAAACTTAAAGTGAAAATTGCTGACCAATTGTTTTAGATATATAGAGAAAAAATTATGTCTAGACGTAAATTTATTATTTTTACAATGTTAGTAAATATAATAAATTCCAAAATTCTATCATGAAAAACACTAAGTAATCCAGAGGGCGACAATGCTACAGTGCGATAGTGCGTTGACGACAATACGATAGTGCGATGACGACAGTGCGAAAGTGCGATGGCTACCGTCGATAACGCGATGACGACAGTACGATCATGTGACAGTGCGATAACGCGATGGCGACAGTACGATACCGCGACGACTTAGTAACTCGTGGCCACGACATAGTATATCGTGCGCACGAGATAAATAAAAACACACACATGTCACCTTTGTGCCACCGTACATTGGTCAATTACCTGAATCATCTTCTACTTCTGTTGTTTTTTTTTTTTTTTGGGGGGGGGCAAAAGAATAGTTACAGAAGTTTAGTATGTATTTTTTTATTTTGTCAAAATACTTATTTGTTCACATTTTACTACCTTTAAGACAAATGATTTAAAATTCAGCGTCTCTTTCTTCAGGTGATTGGCATTTTACATATTATAAAATCATTGTTAAAACGTTATTAAACTCATGTATGCCATTTCTAAAGAAAATATATTTTTGTTCCTTAGAGAAAATAAGCCTTCAAAATTATCGTTAACAGAGCTGCAACATTTACGACATACCTCATATTTCAGAACCAATATGCGGTAACGTTAATACCAGTGTTTGTTTATCGGATGCAAATGAGACACTGTGTCAATCTGTTGGATGTTGCTGGCTTAACGTATCCTGCCAGTATCCTGCAGGTAAGTAAGTAAAACATAAGATTCTTTTCTATTTCATGTGAACGTTTAGCTCCTGCACCATTAGATTTCAGTGCTACATTGGTACTTTAGTTGACAGTGCTTCCCTGTATCTTAGCTCACAGTGCTTCCAAATACATTTGTTGACAGTACGTCCGTCCTGTAAAGAAGTTTACAATGGTTCCTCGGTACATCAGCCCATTCTTCTTCCTTTGTACACTAGTTAACAGTGTTCCCTCGTGGTACATAAGCTCAAGTTCTCCCCCAGTTTATTTTTAATTGCTTCCTTGATACACTAGTTCAAAGTGCTCCACTAATACACTAGCTCTAGTTTACAGTGATTACCTATTACATTATTGCACTTTGCTTCCCCTGTATATTAGTCCACAGTGTTTGCCTGATAAATTAGAACACAGCGCTTCCCTGGTACAATAGTTCACAATGTTCACCTAGTACACTAGTTCACAGACCTTCCCTGGTACACTTATTCACAGTCCTTGCCTGGTACACTAGTATGGTGGCTGATTTGGAACACTTTTGTGCGTCGTGTTGTCGCTAGCTTTCTTCTTGTCGTCCTGTCACTAACAAAGCAAACAAAGCAAACCAAACGGCGCGTTCTCGTGCGGCGTGTTGTCGCGATGTCACATTGTCGCTCGGCTCGAATCAAAAGATTGGCTATTGTATATATATAAGAAAAGGGACAGTGCGACATCGCGACAACACGCCGCATAACAACGCGCCGTTTGGTGTGCTTCGTTAGCGACAGGACGACAAGACGACAGTGCGGCAACGTGCTTCGCTAGTGACAAGATGACAAGACAAAAAGGCGATAACCATATAGATTGTGTTGTCGCTAATGACAACGCAACGCGCAAAGTGTACCGAATCAGCCACCATACACTAGTTTACAGTGTTTGCCAGGTAAACTAGTTCATAGTGCTTCATTGGTGCAGCAGTTTAAAGTGCTTCCCTGGTACACTTATTCACAGTGTTTGCCTGGTACACTAGTTAACAGTGTTTGCCTGGTACACTAGTAAACAGTGTTTGCCTGGTACACTAGTTAACAGTCCTGCCCTGATACACTAGTTTACATTGATTTCCTTGGTTCATAAATTAACAGTGATTATATGGTTCATTAGTTCATAGTGCTTTCATCCGAAAAGAAACTATCAGTAAATGAAGATTGTAAGTGCGTGCGTGTCAAGTTTTCTTTTCTTAATATCATATAAAAAGAGGCATAAAGCTGCAGTATTGTCACACAAACGATATAATAATAATAACTTTTATAATGAAGTATACGGCAACATTTCTCTCTCAATTAAGTTTTTTAGTCCTTATTTGACCCACTGGAAGGTTAAAGACAGTAACAAGAAATGTGTGACAAAACTATTTTCCCATAATGACATTTGTTGTTCTAAATTAACTCGGGGAATGTCTCCGATTTGGAATGAATGACAATTGATATTATATTTCATATATGAATGGTAATTCTTAAGATGAACCCTTAGAAGTTCATGAGAATTACAATATCATTTCTTTTCTCCAGAAAATCAAAATGTGACGGAGTACAAAGAGATACAAGTATATGGTACACCTGTAAACAGACAGTGCGTCGGTTTCAATAGAGATCCAAAAAGCAATAATTGGACTGTCACAGCTTATGACTGTTTTGAAACTGGTAATGATACCACTGGGTTCGTTTGTGAATATGGTAAGGATTTATGGATTATGATGTTTTTTTGTTATTGTTCTTGTTTTCCTCCACAGTTTCACACTGGCCATAGCTTGGCAAAAAAACTTTTTTGTCATTTATTTTACAAACAGGCAATAATATTTTCCCAATTTTCCAAATAATGGTTAATTTGTGAAAGTATCATTCATTCGATGTGATGCCGTAGTATTATGGGGTCGTTTTGCACATATTTGTATGTGTTTTAACCAAAATTAGGCAAAAGTGGCGTCCCCTCATCAAACTGTAGAGAAGTGTCTGCATAAACGGCAATGAATTGCACCGTGTCCGTGTAATAGGTTGAAAGAGTACATATGTGCGCTCCAGTCTCACTGAGTGTTTCCAGTAAAACATTAAATCATAAAACAAAATTCAGTCATATACTTACCGACAACAGCAAACGGCCATGTTTTATCCATCGCTTCTGCGATGAATACTCCACCGCCGCTGCGATAGACCCACCGCTTCTGCGAAAGCTATGGCCAGTGTGAGTATGTCGAAACTCAACAAATAACCCATTCAGTTTCTTAGTTTCTTTCGTCATTGATGAAAATGAATCATTCGTAAATATATATGTGATCATACATTAGATAACTCACTTTTATAATTAATACAATAAATGTATTTTTCTCACATTCCAATACGTTCAAATTTTTTGTGGGGAATAATTAATCGGTCAACAAATGCTATTTTGCAGAATGCGCCGATATAGGAATTACACCTGGGGACAAAGGACAAAATAGGAATGGAGCAAGTTTAATCTTGATTAATCTAGAGGTAATAATAAGAGTTGGTTATGGATATGTTGTTCTCAATCAACTGTAAGATTCTTTTTACGGAAACAATATTAACGAAATGGCATATCAAGTTATGCGATTGGTGCATTTTGAACAGTTTCTTTGTGTAACTTAAATTCTTTTATGGAGTTTTAGTAGCAGTATGAGCTGTTTCAGTAGCTGTTTCAATAGCAGTCTGAACTGTTTCAATAGCATATGAGCTGTTTAATTTTAAAATATTCAAGTATTATACAACGTATCTAAAACGTTCCTTACACTAAGAGTTGTTCACTCACCTGAGCACTAATTGCACAAAAGTTATTTTTGTGATCGCATGATGTTCGCCTTCTGATGTTATCCATTTTTTTAAATTGTCTTCTCACAAGTCACACGGTAGATTAAGGAAAAAATCATTAGGGTGTATTTGTATGTCACATGAATATATGGCGTTTTACATAGTGTTTTATTCATCCTTACCTATTATTCGCATTGTTATTAATTTTTACTATGTAAACAAAGGGTCAAGCTATTAAATATCATCCTGGGACAGTACGTAGGAGATGAACAAGACGGTTATTACTAATGGTTTCAAAATGTTGCACATGTAGGTCACCATAGCTAAAATTGAATTTAGAACTTATATCGTTAAAATCTTCGTTGCAGAAAATACAATTCTAAAGGCTTATAAGTTGGCTATATTTAGATGTATAAATCATGCCCCTTTGTACAAAATTGACCTTTCCTGGATGTCGCTTTCAAACTACAATGCAAAGAGCTGAGATGTTTGGCATTTGCACTATCTTGTGCTCTTCTACAAAAGTCATATGAAGAATGTCCCTTGTGTAAAAAATGACCCCACTCATAAGCTTTACTTAATTGACATAAACTGATAAATTTAATAGGTTTAACAGTCTTCGTGATTGAAACTGCTTTGTTTTATGTTTATTTCATGTTTTGTAATCGTTTTTAACTTTTGATTAAATATAGCCGATTAACCAAAGTTAAAGTGTTAATGTGAAATACTGCAATTATATTGAACAAAAAGAATTACAAACACTGATTCATACTGGCTTTTGACTCGTAACTTTGAAATAGTTAAGTTGTTGAATATCACCCCATTATGAATCTGTCTTTCTTCTGAAATCATGTCTAGTAATTTTATTTTCTATTGCAGATAATGGGTTTACTGATCCTGACATGGGTAATGCCATGGAATCGACTGGGATATCTTCTATAGAGACTGTCACTTATTTTTACAGAGCATCCTAACTAGATGAAGATAAATCATGCTACACTATATCAGTGTGTATGTGTTAGTCTGAAAACGTTAGATTTGCTGAAGAGAGTATTAAACTTATCTTGTAAATGAACCGCGACTTCTTGATAAAACTTTCGAAATGGAACATGTTATATAATTACATAGTATAATTATATAAAATACCTTGTTTTATGCACCTTGTTGGTTTTTATCCACCGTATGCATGTATATATATATGATTTTTTTTAAAAAGAAAACGGAAACATTGCTAAGCGTTTGTTTAATCTTTACCCAATTGTACAAACTCACACCGTACAATCAAATGGGCAGACAGCTGTTCCAGTGTCCACAGCTGTACCAGTGTATACATGTCGGTGCGGGGAATACAATTGACGTACGGTAAGTATTCATCTATTTTTAACATATTCCAACTGTATTCGAGTAAATCAATGTTATGGATTCATAGTCAACATCCAAAGGAGCATGCTAACAAATTTCTGGCCCTGTGCAAGCTTTACTTCACATGAATTTTGACTGAAAATAACCACACTATCCGATGAGATGCGGTATTTTTAGTTTGAAGTCACAAAAACTTATATTTTTTCATGAAAATTAATCCTTTTTTCTTACGATTCGTAAACGTCAACATTTCGTCATTAAATATTCCAAACCATACCTTCAAAAAAGCTTTTCTGTTAAAGTTATAAGGTATTTAAGTTTGAGTGTCATCAAAATTTTAGTAACGTCATCAGCTGTTCGCCTCTTTTTAATGATAACATCGACAGCAATTCATCGGCAAGAACGAATAACGCTGAAAGCTGTTCAAAGAAACAATTACATGTATTAACAACATCGCTTTTGCCATATAGTAACTAGGAAAGAGTAAAACTTTTTTTGTTAATTTAGACGAATATTACTTTATTCATGATTTTTTCTAATTATATTATTTTCATTATTACTTTCTATTATTTGTTATATCTTAGCTTACAGACCTTGATCTCCATTTACCACACTGTATTTCAATATCAAAGGTAGCAAAATCTATAAAAGGGACTCCACTTAGGTTTTTTGACATGACGGGACTGGAAATAATTTTTTGAGATTATTTCTTCATTTGATGTAGATCTATACTAATAAATTATGTGCAAAATTTCCGATCATTACCTTGCTCCTTTTTTCCAGAATATTATAATAGTGAAAAAATGACCCAAAATTGAAAAGTGTTTTTAAAAACGCTTTTCACTCAGACTGAGAATAGCACAAACATATGATTTTCAATGTATTTCTCCTATATTTCTTGGTTACATTTTATTAATATTTATGTTTTAGTGCTCATGTTTTTTATGTGAAAAAAATAAAATTTCATGTTTTTAGGCTTATAAACCTCAGTGGAGTTCCTGTAATAGGTTTACGAAATGTTTAAGTCAAAAGGCAAGGCAAATTTAACGCTTAATATGAATATTCAGTCTTGTAAATGAAGGCCTCCATCAAGTGTTCTAATAAATAAAGGCATATATTGAACAAGTCCTATGCAGTGAATGGCTGTGTAACCCGAGATATGAAAGTGCATGGAAAAACATGTTGTTATTTATCCTCGAAATCTGTTTTAATGTATAGTGCAATAGAAATAATAACCATTCTAAAAAAATATTTAGATTCTTTTTTTTCATGAATCATTTTATATGGCAGACATCTCGGCTTACACATCCATTTACTGCATGGGACATGTCTACTATATGCCATTATTTATGATAACGCTTGATGGATTTAGTTATAATACAGAGAATTCGTTAAATTTGCCTTTACTTTCTTTGAATTTAACATTTCAGAAACATATTAATAGATCTTACTACCTTTTTATATTATAATAATAATAATAAAAAATATCTTTATTTAAAGAAGGTTATACATTAATAACATACAATAACAATCATATATATCTTATTTCCAATGTGGCCTTCTGAAATAGAAAACAACAACAACAACAACAACAACAGGATATGCATAGGAAGAAAAATGAATGTATAATATGTAATTTTTAGAATATTACAACTCATATACTTTCTACAGATAATTTGTTTTAACATATACGTATATTGCATCATTCGTTCGTTCGTTCGTTCGTTCGTTCGTTCATTCGTTCGTTAATTAATTCATTCATTCATTCATTCATTCATTCATTCATTAATTCATTCATTCTTTCACTCATTCATTCACTCACTCACTCATTCATTCATATGAACGATATCAATATTGAAATACAGTGCGGTAAATGGAGATATAGGCCTCTCAGCTAAGATACAACAAATTAAAGAAAGTAATAATAACAATAATATAATTAGAAAGTATCATGAATAAAGTAATATTTCAAATGAACAAAAAAGTTTTACTTTTTGATAGTTACTGTAGCACAAAAGCGCTGAAAATATTGTTTCTTTGAACAGCTTTCAGCGTTATTCATCCTTGCCGATGAAATGCTGTCGATGTTATCATTAAAAAGTGGCGAACAGCTGATGACGTTACTAAAATTTTGATGACACTCAAACTTAAATACCTTATAACTTTAACAGAAAAGCTTTTTTGAAGGTATGGTTTGGAATATTTAATGACAAAATGTTGACGTGTACGAATCGTAAGAAAAAAGGATTAATTATCATGAGAAAATATAAGTTTTTGTGACTTCAAACTAAAAATACCGCATCTCATCGGGTAGTATGGTTATTTTCAGTCAAAATTCATGTGAAGTAAAGCTTGCACAGGGCCAGAAATTTGTAAGCATGCTCCTTTGGATGTTGACTATGAATCCATAACATTGATTTACTCGAACACAGTTTGGATATGTTAAAAATAGATGAGTACTTATCGTACGTCAATTGTATTCCCCGCGCCGACATGTATATACTGGTACAGCTGTGGACGCTGGAACAGCTGTCTGCCCATTTGATTGTACGGTGTGAAACTGTACATTGTAATGCCGCATAACAGTGCTACAGTGCTATCGCATAAATGTTATCGTTCGTATCGATTTATTCAGGGAATAGACATAAACACATACAATGTTATCACATAAATCAACTTGCATGTATATAAAAATACACACATAAATGCAACAAAAATAATAATTATTGTAAGATTAATTAATGCGTATGTTCTCTGTTACCCTAGGATTGCCCATTAAGCTAAAAGCTTATTTCTAATGGGGTCCATTTACTGTAAAATTATCACACTCATTTACATAATAATAAATGAATTATAAAGAATTTAAAATAAATGACAATGACGTTAATATAATGATTTCCGACTTTTTAGCTCACCTGAGCATGCTCAGGGTGAGCTTTTAGGATCGATGATTGTCCGTCGTCCGTCGTCCGTCCGTCGTCCGTCCGTCGTCCGTTCACATTTTGTTGTTAACACTCTAGCGGTCGCATTTTTGCCTCAATCATCATCAAACTTGGTCAGGATGCTTATCTAGTTGATAGCTCGGATGAGTTCGAACATGGGTCATCTCGGATGAAAACTAGGTCACAAGAGCTAAAAATAAAAAAAACCTTGTTAACACTCTAGAGGTCACATTTTTGCCTCAATCATCATCAAACTTGGTCAGGATGTTTGTCTAGGTGATAGCTCGGATGAGTTCGAACATGGGTTATCTCGGATGAAAAAGTAGGTCACCGGAGCTAAAAATAGAAAAACCTTGTTAACACTCCAGCGGTCACAATTTTGCCTCAATCATCATCAAACTTGGTCAGGATGCTTATCTAGTTGATAGCTAGAATGAGTTCGAACATGGTTCATCTCGGATGAAAAACTAGGTCACAAGAGCTAAAAATAGAAAAACCTTGTTAACACTCTAGCGGTCACAATTTTGCCTCAATCATCATCAAACTTGGTCAGGATGTTTGTCTAGTTGATAGCTTGGATGAGTTTGAACATTGGTCATCTCGAATGAAAAACTAGGTCACAGGAGCTAAAAATAAAAAAAAATCTTGTTAACACTCTAGTGGCTACTGTTTTGATCCAAATATCCTGTAAATTGGTCTGAAAGTTTGTTTTGATGATTTCTAAGACAAGTTAGAACATGGGTCATCTTGGATGAAAAACTAGGTCACACCTCCCAAATATTGAAAAACCTTGTTAACATTCTAGTGGTCACATTTTCGACTCAATTATCATCAAACTTGGTCAGGATGCTTGTCTAGGTAATTGCTCGGATGAGTTCGAAATCGCATGTGAAACTAGGTCACCGGAGCTAAAAATAGAAAAATCTTGTTAACACTCTAGTTGCTACTGTTTTGATCCATGTATCCTGGAAATTGGTCTGAAAGTTTGTTTTGATGATTTCTAGGTCAAGTTTGAATATGGGTCACCTGGGTAAAAAACTAGGTCACACTGCTCAAATATGGATAATCCTTGTTAACACTGTAGTGGTCACATTTTTGACTCACCTGTCACGAGACTTGGTCAGAATGCTTGTCTAGATAATTTTTTGGATGAGTTTGATGGGTCAGGTGAGCGATCTAGGGCCATCATGGCCCTCTTGTTAATTTAGCGACCACGTTTACTCATAAGGCAGATATGGTACGGAACTGTGTCTTTTTGCTGCGAAAAGAGCGTATTCTTAAATCATTTATTATACTGAGTTACATTTTTACACTATATCAGACACCTGAGTTATCTTGCGTACACTGATGTTATGTTAAATTGTTTGAATTAACATTAACTTCAAACGTTTCCCTTTCGTTGCCCTGGTAACTAAAGATTTAAGCTGGTAAGTACAATTGCTAGCTGTTTCTGACACGAACATGTAAGCTTACCGAGCACAAAGGGACTGTGAAGATTGTTATAATGCGAATCAAAAGGCGTAATTACGCAAAACAAAATGCGTAGTAACGCGAATAAAGGCGTATTAACACAAATAAAGACTTAATAAAGCGAATAAAGGCGTTATAACGCGAATCAAAAGGCGCATTTTTGCAAAACAAGAGACATGAAAACGCGAATAAAGGCGTTGTTACACGAACAAAATCGTTATATCACGAATCAAAACCGTAATTACACGAAACAAAAGGCGAAGTTACGCAAATAAAGGCGTAGTAACGCGAGCCAAAAGACGTAATAACGCAAAACAAAAGGTGTAATAATGCAAAACAAGTTTTTAATAAAGCCAAAAATATTGAGCTATCTACATGCATTTACGATAAATGAAATATCATACTTGAATAAATACCTTAAAATTGCGAGGTCTACATGTTTTGTGCCAACGAAACTTAACCAGAACTATCACTAAATGTGATTAATACACCCGCAAGACTGCTTCGGAAATGAGGAAGTTACAAGTAACAAAATACCTTGTAAAAGAATTGAAATAGAGTTGTGGGCAATTAAAGATAGTTGTGGTTTTTGTATGTTGCATTTCCTTACAATATGGTTGACCATTGATGAAGTTTTATTGAATTACTCTGTAATAAATCCAGAAAGAGTTACGCTTCTTGAGCACTGCACTTCGTCTCATTGCGCTTGACCATTGTATGAAGTTGCATTGAATTCTAAACATTAGTTTTAAGTTATGCACCGGACAAGGAAAAGAAACAAAGGACAACAACTCTACAAATACTGAAGATGGAGTTATGGTTATTGTACACTGCACTTCCTCTCATTTCGCTTGACCATTGTATGAAGTTATGTTGAATTCCAACTACTAGTTTTCAAGTTATGCACTGGACAAAAAAGTAATAAAGGGCAATAACTGTAATTAGTCAAAATAGAGTTATGCTTCTTCTGCACTGCACTTCATCTCACTGCCCTTGACCATTGTATGAAGTTTCATTGAATTCTAAACATTAATTTTCAAGTTATGCACTGGACATTAAAAAGTAACAAAGGGCAAAAACTCTTAAATGAGTCAAGAAAGAGTTATGGTTTCTGGGCACTGCGCTTCCTCTCAATATACTTGACCATTGTATGAAATTGTATTGAATTCCAAATAGTACTTTTCAAGTTATGCTCTGGACAAGAAAAAAACAATGGAAAAGTAACAAAGGGCAGTAACTCAATAATTACTCTAGACAGAGTTATGGTTCTTGTGCACTGCACTTCCTCTTAATGTGCTTGACGATTGTATGAAGTTGTATTGAATTCCAACTAGTAGTTTTCAAGTTATGCTCCGGACAAGGAAAAGTAACAAAGGGCAATAACTCTGTAATTAGTCAAGATGGAGTTATGGTTCTTGTGCACTGCACTTCCTCTCAATGTGCTTGATCATTGTATTAAGTTGTATTGAATTCCAACCATTAGTCTTCCAGTTATGCTCCGGACAAAAATAAGCAATGGAAAAGTAACAAAGGGCAATAACTCTGTAATTACTTTAGATAGAGTTATGGTTCTTGTGTTCTGCACTTCCTCTTATTGTGCTTGACCATTGTATGAAGTTGTTTTGAATTCCAAGCAGTAGTTTTCAAGTTATGCCCCGGACAAGGAAAAGTAACAAAGGGCAATAACTCTATAATGAGTCATGATGGAGTTATGGTTCTTGTGCACTGCACTTTCTCTCAATGTGTTTGACCATTGTATGAAGTTATATTGAATTCCAACCATTAGTCTTCAAGTTATGGTCTGGACAAAAGAAAGCAATTGAAAAGTAACAAAGGGCAAGAACTCTGAAACTACTTTAGATAGAGTTATGATTCTTGTGCACTGCACTTCCCCTCATTGTGCTTGACCATTGTATGAAGTTGTTTTGAATTCCAACTAGTAGTTCCGGACAAGAAAAAGTAACAAAGGCAATAACTCTATAATAAGTGAAGATAGAGTTATGGTTCTTGTCACTGCACTTTCTCTCAATGTGCTTGACTATTGTATGAAGTTGTATTGAATTTCAACCATTAGTCTTCAAGTTATGCTGCGGACAAGGAAAATGCAACGGACGTCTGGACCGACCGACCGACCAACCGACTGACCGACCGACCAACCAACCGACCAACCACCGGGAGACTCCTATATACCCACCTCACCCAAACTTCGTTTCGGGGGTATAAAAATCCACCACAGTAAACATACATTTTGGTACAGAGTATTCCAAGCAGGTTAAAACATTGAATTCCAATTGAATTATGCTTTTTGTTGACAATTCATGTCTGTAAAATATGCAATTCTAACTCAATTTCATCTGTTTGGAGTACTTTTTATACATGACAAGCAGCAAAATGCATGTTTACTCGTATTGGATATGGTAGTTTTGTTGGATTGTATAATATTTTTCTTTGTCCATGGGAGATTATTTTATGATAAATTAACCATTATTCGCGATACAAATGAACCGAAAGCCTATGGTCGATAACAGTAAACTTTTCAGGAAATGTTTGAAATGACGTTTCAGACAAAAGGCGGTAATACATGTATACCATATGCTACCTCTGTCGACGATTGGAATTTTACGATTATTTCGAAAATTGTAGGAATTGACCACGAAGGATGCATGCCTGAGCGGTTAGTTTTTTGCATCAAATCTTTTTAGTGATGTGAAATAAAGAGTTTGTTATACATCGTTGAGTACCATATTAGACTCGAGCTCTACACAGCTGCCAAACCTATATTGGACTCTAATTACGCCTCGTATTATATTGGTTTAACGCCTAAGTGGTCAAAAATATTTCGTTATAATATTCAACAATAATAAGACTGAATATATTTATTACAAAGTTATCTAAAAGTATATGTATGACCCAATTGAGATAGAAGAGTATGTAGCACGAATGGCAGAATTGGTAAAAAAATGTCTTTCAAATGCGTATTATGGATAAAAAATTTGGTTCCATTTGTTTCTTATCACTCATACGAACGACAACATACTAATAATGATACTTATTATAATAATAATGATAATGATAATAAAACATTGTTCAATAAAAGGACTGCATTTCTTCAACTTATATGTGTTCTGACATCGCATGAAGATAACAAAATTACCTGTGTCAATTTATTTCAAGATTTTATATCTTTTTAAGATTTCTATAAGTGTGGCAATGTGAATAAACAAGAATATTAAAGTTTATTTTCTACGATGATTTAGTTGTTATGGTGAGGTGATTATCAGTTATAGCATCATAAACAGCAGCGCTTTTGTCACATAGTATTGTTTGACATTTTGTAAATGGATTTTCTGAAGTTCTTTAAGATGTATTTGCTTGTTGCAATACTCGTTGTTTTGTGTCCAATAGGTAATATATTTTTAATATCTTGTTTGTCGATAATGTCTTCATTTAAGTTTTACATACAATTTCATATACTTTATATAAAAGCATGTACATGTAAAATGGTGCAAACAAATTTAACCATCTAATACATAGTATCTTGTGTGCGGCACTTAATTATCTCGTGCGCATAGTATCTCGTGCGCACCACTTAATTATCACGATTGCAAGACCTAGTAAGTCTTGCGCTCGACTTAGTCACTCGTGCGCACGTGATAAATAAAAACGCACATGTCACCTCGGTGCCACGTAAGATATTGTATTCTGCGATAAAATAAAAAGAATGAAAATAATTATGACAATAAGTTTGCTATCAATAAATATGGCATATTATTAAAAAAATATGTGGGTAACGGTAAAAATATCATCCCGAGGAAAATACTGTTACCCGAGGCGTAGCCTCGTAACAGTATTTTTACGAGGGATGATATTTTTACTGTTACTCACAAACCCATGTGTTATTTATTTTATTACCCCGAACAAAAATACTGAGATGATCTGAAATTGTCAACTAAATCTAACTGTAACACAAATAAACCAAGAGTAACAATAACTAAACTGTCCTTACCTTTTAAGTTTTAAGTGTACTTTAGGCCTACTTGAGAAGTTTTCTTTTTCTTTTATTCTTTAAGCAAATAAGCTAGGTTTTATTTAGAAAACAATACACTAACCCATTTACACGGTTATGATCTGTGAAATCTGATCTTTCTGTTTCCAGAATATTCTTAGCATGGTTTTTGACAAAATGACGATGATATCCTATGTCTGTCCACCATATCTGTAACGTTCACTGATTAAAATTGTTAAATAATCCTTTGTTGCATGCTTAAATCGTCTGCATGTTCCAGTTTGACACACAATTATTTACATTGCAATTACTTCCGTTGAAAACGGATGTTCACTTTTTGACTATTCAACAAAAAGATATTTTATACGCGAAAAGCACACCAGGGTGCAAACAACTAAATTTTATGAGTGTCATAGTTACTCCAGAGAAGAAATTGATGTCCTATCGGGGTTTAACGTTGAAAATAAGAATGAATCGAGAAAAAAATGGCGGCCATTTTATTTCATTTTATTTAGAAAATAGACCACGTGACCAGATTTTATACTGTTAAAAATACTGTTACCTATGTAACAGTACAAAATTCTTAGTCACGTGGTACACTTGCATTAACAGTAAAAATAACTCCCAGAGGCCTATGGGAAATTAGCATTACGAAAAAAGTGAGGGGTAATAATTATATACTGTTACTCATTTTTTTTATTTTCACATATAATTTATATACATGTATTTAAGACGAGGAACGGTAGAATAGCGATTAAAGTGTTTGCATTATCTTGTGTTGTTGTTAATTTGTGTGTGCATGAGCACGCGCGCGCGTGCATTCGTGCGTGTGGGTGTGTGCGTGCATGCATGCGTGCGTGAGTGCGTGCGTGCGTGCGTGTGTGTGTGTGTGTGCTTAGTTTAGTTTTTAGTTTATACAAATTTATTTTAGTTCGATTGTGTAGGAAGCTATAAGCTTATTGAAACACTCTCGAATCCGTTCCTTGAACCAACTAGTACTAAGCAATGAATGTAAAGTTTCTTGCTCAAGGAAACAACAGCTTGCCCCTGATAGGGTTTGAACCCACGCTGTCAGCAATCCTTAGATTACTAGTCTGACGCGTTAACCACTCGGTCATGCTGCCACTTTTAGTGAATACGACATATAAAAGACGGTCACTTAAAGTTTTTTAATCGAAATTTAAACTTTTTTTCCTCAAATTTAGGTAACGTTTTAGTATGATACTGTCTGTTACTGAACTTAAAACCTCCGACAAGTGCGATTGAATAATTATCTATTTATACTCCCAAATCTTGTAGAAGTAGTTGTGTTCCTTATGTGGTCAATTTATGTTTTGTTAAATCACTGGATTGGTGTTTGGTTATATTAACAAGAGACCTTTTAACAAGCACTGGCTTTTTTTGGAAATGTTCAACATTATCAAATGATACAACTGCAAGGTTTTATATGTACATATGTTACTTACTAGCCTCAAAGGTAATGTGATTAAGTTTGAAGCTGAAGGTTAGAGGTCCGATTGTAGCTCAGAACATAAATATTTACATTTTGATAAATTACGGAAATAAATGTATGAGCTATTTTTTTATATTATCATAAAATAGAATGAAGATGACAAAACAAACATAGTACAAAATAAACAAATCATGCAGCTGACCGACCTCTCAAATAATCAAAAGAAACTTGTCGGTCTCTCGAGACAACTTCTGTAATTTAGTGCTCGCCAATTTTTTTAAGCCAATCACCGACGAGGATTTTTCAAATTTTCAGGTTTCAAATCTTAATAGAACAGATTTTATATAAACTGGACGTTTTATATTATAAAACGCAAGTGGGCGGAGCACTAAGCCGGTTAGAGTGCATATTGGATGTTCTTCGTAAATAAGAAAGCTACAGTCGCTTCGCAAGCTCCGCTCCTTTTTAGCTTTCTTATTTACGAAGAACACCCAATATGCACTCTAACCTATACATAACCCAAAAAACCTAATTACTTTATAACACTTTATAAACCAGGAATGTCCCTTATAAAGCTAAATATTTACATATATTTGTTCAAATTTCTACGTAATCTACTGAGCAATTTTTTTTCTTGTGAAGAGAAGAATTCATATATTTATGAAGAGTGTTTGTAAAACTTGCAAAATCCATAAATAAAAATTATTACTTCTAGCCATTGATATTTTACCGCTGAAAAATAAATTTATCAGTTTTAAAATCCTACCGTATTACTGTGGTATAGTTATGCGACATATTTGTTACTGATAAGAATACTTTATGATATATTATAACATCTTTAATTTAACAAGTTAACACTGATAACAAAATCATCAATCGATACATTTTGATATATCTTTGGTTTTCTAACTACTCGCGAATTTGAGGGTAAGAAAGTAAACGAAAATGAACCTTAAGTATTTCTGTCTGGTTTCACTTTTTGTTAAAGGTACGTAAAATGTATTAATTATTCATTAGGAAAGGAACATTGTTTAAAGTAATAATAAATATTGTAAGTTATAATCTGAAAATATCTATTATCTTATGCTCGAAATTTTTTGTGTAATTGTTTTTAGATATTTAATATATATTTTATTCAAGTTCTGATATGTATAGTATTTTATGAGATGAGTATATCCATGCGCGGTGAAATCAAAATATGTACGAATAAAGATTTCTATGAACTATTAATTGTTTAATAAACTTTGCAGAGTGGAAGATTTATGCTTATTCTACTAAATTTATACCATGTCCACATTTCATACATATACATTTAGTTATAATCATTTAACGTAAAAACATATTAAATGCAGTTGCATGTCAAAGTTGCATAGCACCGAAAGGAAGCAGATGTATCCCAATCGGGAGACCACCGGCATCCTGTATAACGAAAATTGAGAATGGCACGAGTTTAACGTGGTTCCACATGCAGGAAAATTGTGTTAAAAATAAAGGGAGACTGATATGGCTTAGAGATGATTTCAATACTAGTAATTTAGCAGCCACGGAAACAACGTTAACTGGCGGAAACTTTAGCAAAACAGATTTTCTTGTGATTGGACTTCTACACTCAATGAAAGGAGATGATTTGAATTTCTGGAGGAACCCTCATGACAGTGAGTTACTATTTATGTCAGAATAATCATCCGATAATGTAAATTCTTACACTGTTATGTAATAAGTTAGTTTATCAATAAGTCAACGAACTTGTGGTAATTTTTTCCATAAGCTATCGAGAAATACACATATCATGTGTCATTTATGTTATGAAAGTGAAATCAGAAAAATGTATCTTAAACTTTTCAAAGTCTTTTTATCACGTAAGAATAATTAAATTATAAGATAATCATGAATCTTCGAGTATGATGTTCAGTTTGTAGCTTTACAGTTTGTAATCATCAAGCGGCCATGTCTCTTTCAATTTGCTTTTGTAAGTACTCAACAGTTTGAAACTAAATATAAAATTATACAACATGGTTATCCAGGAATTTGGAATTGACTTAAGAGTAATGTGTTCTCTTTTGCACCAAGTGTGAACCGTTCTGATAAAATACTGAACAAAAAAAAATGTTAACTACGTGCAAACTATACAATGTTACACCTATATACACGTGAGGTAATTCTTAAAAACGCCTTAAATGGAAAATCGGTCAGCGTATCCTATGATATTAGTCCGGTCGGCTCAATGAACACAAAATTGAGTTTCATGTGCACATGAAGGATTGGCAGATTTCTATACCGAAATATTGCTATAGCCGTCAATCTACTGGAAAGAAAACATTTAAATTTAAGTTTATTTTTAGAAAGTTTATATCAGATAGCCATGGGCATGCTTGAGGAGGCTGGGCTTCCAACTGCGGAGGCGGCAGCTCGAGTTTAGAAAAGTTAAAAGAGTATCTTCATTCAGAACAAGCGACGAAAGGTTATCCTTATTTCAGTTAATATACTAATAAAATCACAAAGTTGCCGTGATCATGGAGTGAAACAAACCATCAATAGACCTAATGGATTACTATAACATCAAAGATAATTAACTATCATAGCGCCATCTCAGTATGATCTATACAAAATGATTTGAGAGTGCCAATTAAATTTGATACAGGAATGTATGAAGCTTGTTGGAGAATACATGCTGAAAAGTCTGTTATATAACGTTTAATCTCTGTTTGGTAGATGATACACTGTCTTGTGGAACAGAAGACACGGCTTTATGTTTGCAATCACCTGCAACAGAGAAACAGTGTAACATAATAGGATGTTGTTGGCTACACGGAAAATGCCAATATCCAGGTATATATATTAAACTGTCCGAATGTTTGTCGTACACGGTCAAAACATAATCAATTACCAATAATGTTTTAAATCCAAAACAAAAACTAAGTAAATGTTATGGAGGCTTGTGGACAGTGTAGTTCTTGATAGCAATTAAATGCAACATACATTTTTTATATACAATGTATATATATTATATGTGTGTGATTAAATCCACTGTTAAACTAATATATACATACAACTTGACAAATTAAATTTAAAATTCAATATTGTTATATGAATGTTTAAGAGTTTAAAATTCATTATGACAGAGTAAAACAAACAATATTTTAGAGCGTCAATGGCTGTCTGAGAAAACCGGAAGTGACGTCATAGATACAACAGCAATCTCTGGGGGTTCAGACAGAAGTTGCGTTGGACTACAAAAGAGCGGCAAGGATTGGTCATTCAAAGCATTTAGCTGTTCTTCACCGCCGGCTTCAAATACAGGATATGTCTGTGAATACAGTAAATATTTCCGAATTACAAAATATACTATATTATAAATAAATAGGTTTTTTATCAGTTTACGATATGAATAGATAACCCCAATGTCATAGAAAAAATTTAGGGCGTAACTATGTCTTTCTTTACTTTTTTCATAAGTAGCTTTAATTTCCTTATAAATTTATATTTCATTAAAACTGGTGCATACAAAATTATTCTTTCATTATGACCTTTTCTGTTAATATTCGATAGCAAATAGTTCTTCTTTGTCCATCTTAATATAGTTGCATATGGTCAAGTACTTTGTCAATATTAATAAAAAGATAATAAAGCTTACCCATACAATTTCGTTCTTATCTCACACTTAGGCATGAGACAAATATTTTAGTTTACATTTTACGGGAATTTAGTACATTTACAAAACAAAATACTTCTATATCTGATAGACACCAGTTAGTGTACATTTTTGTTTCATCTTAAACTTGCAGATCAAAATTCTTTCTAACAATTAAGAAAATATTTAAAAGTCAAAAATGAAGAATACAAATAGAAAGAGCATCGAAACAAGAGTCTATCTGATTTGTACGAGGGGACGAAGCCCGAGTGTGTTGATGCTCTTTCTCTTTTGTATCAAAGGCAAAAGTAAAAACACGTTCTCTGGCGTCGCAATATTAAACCCCAAGAAAAAACTAACAAATGTACGAGCATCTGAATATGATATTTCTATCGCTATCTCTTTCCCTGTCGCCCAAATAAGTAAACCCCAGAAAAATGAGCCAATCAACGAGCATACTCTTGGCAGACAGTGAGTGCGGGTTTATTAATGCTTGCACTCCAGTTAATGCACTGTGCATGTATTGGTAAACGATTTAACTCTGACACGTTTTCAATGGTAAAGTCTCCAAACTATGATTCCGCGCAGGAATCAAGCGGGAATAGTGATGCATGTATAACAATAATTATTTAATGCTATATATATTAGAGTGTCAGCCAGACTGGTCGAATAACGGATTGAAGAACGTGACATGGCCTAGGAGCGGCTCGACCGGAGTAAGTTCAACAGCGGCCTACTCCGACACTACTGGTCATGTGATAACGACCACCGATAGAAACAAGGCGGCAAAGGATTTCAACAATCAAGTGCGTCTTTTCATTTTTTGTTGCTGTTTTGTTGTTTTTTCACCACCGGCAGATGTAGTCTGGTCCCCTGCCTATAAAGATTCGAATATCACATACTGTTAGGGGCGGATAATCTAGACCACCTAAAATGCTACATATCAGCAACACATATCTGTGTAACCGTGGCATAATGAAAGTTTCAATACAAAACAAATGTGTTTGAAGAAATTGCCTTAAAATTATTTAATTTGGGGTAAGGCCATTCACATTTCTGAGTATTTACATTAATCGTAAGACACTTAACACGAAACGTCCTTGATATATTATTAATTGCAGCAATTAATCTAACCGTTTTTACTTCATAACTTGTATGCTTATATTTCTATATTTCAGGTGATGTCCACGATTTGCGGTTTAACTGTAATGCTAATGTGTTATATGAAGTTACCTTTCATGTAAAGTATAGGTAGTGTGGTATAGATTGACTGACCTACTTTGTTTTGATTTTCATTCTTAACATAACCTATTGAAAAAATAATATGTTTCATGCAGTTATAAAATAAGGCTTTAGTTTTCTGTGTTAAGTGGTCAAATCGTAATTTTACCAATCAAACAACTCGTAGCAATTTATCTGAAAGTATCAATACTTCCAGAGCGCTGATGTGTCTCCTTAAAGATAAACTGGCAGGTCGACGTGATTATATTTGATGAACAAAATCTTAAAAAGCTGATCTGTGGTGTGCTGATGTCATCTATCATTCTAAATGTGTTTATTTAACCGACTGTCTACATAGTAACTGATCTAATCTCAAATATTTTCCATATTACTGTAATGATTACAAGTTCATTTCTATATGTTGTCAAATGTTTTACAGCGTTTTTTCATAAAATATAAAAATATCATGCAATAAATTGAAAACAAAATTAACAGCTCCCACTGACAATGTGAATAAGTCAGGGAAGGCTCTTGTCAATGCGTATTAGCGGCTTTATAAATGTCAACAAAAGAAAATATGTAGAGTTAGTACAATGAAGCATCGACAACTCATTTACTTGGCCTTTCCTTTGAATATCTTGATTCAATGCATATATATATATAAATACGAAAATACGAAGGAAAACATAGTTTTTAGACAAAGCGACGCAAAAAATGTCTTTTTTTTTCATTTTACCCGTCCTATAATTTTTCGCGACGAAATTACAAACCTTCGACACAGTCAAATTTTGCCGATCCTTTTTTGTTCTTTCGCTTTTTCGCACAATTGCATTTTTTCGTGTTCCGGGGGGGGGGGGCTAAATTTCCCACTTTCGGGTTCCGTTTGTACCAGAACATGCGCGCATTAATGGCAACGGAGAGAATTTACAACATGTGATAACATACACTTTTTATGAAATTCTAATATTATTCAATCCGTTGTAGTTTCAGGTATTAAGCAACTTAATAATTAAATTTGAGTCCATTCCTCCGCCCGCTGTGTCATAAAATTATGATGTAATAAATCTGATGATGATTAACCGGAGCACGAAGATGCTGGGTAAAAAAGAATACACTAATGTCAAAAAGCAAGCATGCGAAAACATAAAAACGAAAATGCTCCGAAGCAAAAATGTAATGACATGACAAATGTGAATCAAAAACATTTTTTTATTGAAAAATGTGAGAATTCGAGGAGACGACAAAATCACTGTTAGTCTCCCCGTCGTGTTTTCACATTCTCTTGGCGAAAAAGCGAAAATACAAAATCAGCCACCATAATTTTTTTATCCGCGTCAGTCGCCTTCATCAAGGAAGATATTAAGATAAAAAAAACATATTTGCTATGCATTGTTCCCCGTCGAGGTTGAACATGATTTGCATGAAAATGCATTTACTTGGTTTGATAACATTATAATGACGTTCATGTGTGGTAATTGTATCAGCATGTAACTTTATTGTAATCTAATTCTGATAAGCAGACGATAAAACCTAACCCTAGTCAATCAATGTTGGGATATCAGAAAATTTCGTAAAAAAAAGGAGATGACTTAAACATTATTGATAACAACGTATTCACAGAGGTCCCATAACGATCTCCAAAATTTTGATTTTGAACTCTTATACTTAAAACATCATTTGGCATATCTAACACGGAACAATTATAGTATTTTACCTCACAACAGATATATATTTTATGTAAAATGATTTGTCACAATATCGTGGAACAGTCAACTGATGTACTGAAATACGTTATTGTTTACTAATGTTTATAGTGTAGTGTTATACTAAGATACCCTGGTGATGGTTGTGGTGGTGTTTGTAGTTTACTCTCCGTATCACGCATGTAAGCCACTTTGAATTTACCAAAGCATATTTAAGAGGCAGTAGAAGTCAGGTCAATCATAACGAAAGTGGCCTACACCGTCCGGGAATCGAATCATGGTAGCCAGATCCACTGTCCAACGCTCAACCTCTTCATATATAATCGACTGGTCATAACGTTCCCGGGTATTTTCAAACACGATAAACGAATCTTTTATCAAACCGTAAATAACCATTTATAATTTTTTAAATGTTCACTGGCAAATATTAACGCCCATGGCCATGTAGTTTTACAAAAGGTTTAAGTGTATTTCCACCTACACAAGTTCTGTGTTATGAGATGCGTTCATTGAAAGCTGTCCTTCCTTGTTGATCCTGTTCTTCATATTCTATGTAAGCGGTGCATAAATTAAGCAGGATCAGTTTATCAGGATCATTTTATATGGAAGTTATTTATGAAAAATATTGTAAAGGTCAATTGGGCAGCAACGCTTCTTGCTATATATATATGGCTGGGACCTTTTCATTAAACCACGAACACTTAATAATTTCTAAAGATAGGTTTTTGTAGTTCTTTTCCTTTGGAAAAAAAGAGTCCTTAAAAAGTTAATTTCTTTGATATTTCAAGCAGTGAATATTACATCATATTCAATAGCTCACTAGTCAATAAGTGTAGAATATTATATAGAATGTACTTAATAGACACTCAAGTTTTTCGGACGCTTATAAACTATAACAGGCTTATACTAATGAACAGATTGGACACTTTTAATTTTTAACAACTTCAAAAGATCTTAATCACCCAAAGGATGGCATAATGAATCATGTTCAATGAAAAAAGGTATTATATTCCTGTCATTGACAAAAACATTATATAGATTATTATAATAAAGACTTTATTTTACGCGTTAACTCATTTGAACAACATATCAATCTTTCATTCAATAAGGAACAATATAAATATAACATATGCAAACTATTAAATACATTAATGTTCAGAAAATAATTCAGCAGATGGAGTGTCATAATCTTTGTATAAAGCGCTTCCTTTTGTGTATGTTCAAACACCATAGTAAGTATTAACATGAAAAGGATATTTTCTTTCAACAAATTAGTTGTGCAAAAGAGGAATATATTGAGAAAATAAATATTATTTGTAACGGTACACCGTCTTGACACGACATTGGACGACACGATTAATATTCCACATGATGATGTATATCAAAAACATCTGTAATCATATCCAAATCCTTTGCTTTAAAAAATATAAAGTTTTAAGATATAGTATACGTAAATTTGATATAGGGATGAAACATGTTGTTTAGTTTTTGGATAAACAATTCTTGATCCATAAAAATGCCATCTCAAAATCTTAGCCACACGTTGAGTTTGATAACACAAAGGCTTACAAAGTCTTTCTTGAATTTACCCCATGAATAACGAGGCATATGCTGGTGCCATCGGGCTACCCATAGCTGTACCTATTCTTTGGATATAAGCTTATTATAGAACAACAAGTTAACATTGACATTGCCGTTGATGTTTTATGTTTCTCTTTTATTGACTTGCTTGTTATGTGGGGTGAAAAAAACTTGTTTTATCTTGAAAAAAATCTTGATTTTAGCCAATGAAATTCGTGCTTTAATCTTTCTTTAACATTTGATTACTTGCTCGTGACGGGCGCAAAATATTTTCTCAAAAAAGTTCTTACAAACCAATAAAGAATTTTAGGACACTTGAGTGTTATCTTGATATTCACTAATTGATCAAGAAACATTTTTATAATCGATTTTCCTTTACAGCATCCAGCATTAAATTATAAGTCGTAGCTATTGTTTACATCTACGTTTCTGTGTAATAAACTCAAATGAAATATCATCAACCAAACTGTAAAATAACATTGAATCGTTTACGTCTTTGGATTTATTTCTGGTTTAGAAATACCTTTTCTTTGCAAGTTTTGACAGATAATTCGTTTTTGTATTAGTTTTATATAGAAGTCATTCAAAATCGAAGCGACTAATTCTTTCATTGAGTGATAACTATTGAAGTTGCACAAGCCATTTATCTTACTGTTTTTTATTTAACGTCATATACCTTTGTACATAAGTTACCTTTCTTCATGCTTTATACAAACTATTTACGGTTTAGTTCATTTCTGTATTAGTTTTTATGTAGAAGTTATTCCAAACCGAATATATTTTATTCCCTACTTCCTTTTGTACACCTAAAGTTACACGATGGATTTTGTTAAAGTGTGCTTTATATGATTTATCGCTCGCATGGCGTGATTACTGTTAGCTTTCGCTTATTTCCATTATCCAGTGTTTATGCTAAATAAAGTTCGGTTTATGTAATGACTTGAACATTAAAAAGGCAAATTTAATTGGCCTATTATCTTTCAAAATGTCTCAGAGTCACTAATAGTGTCGAATATATGTGTCACGCAGTACAATATATAATATGGAAGGAAGGAAGGAAGTTGCTTATTATTATGACATGTGCATAGCTAATTACAAATAATGACCATATATGTGTATGAATATAGTACACGGCCCAATGGGCCTATAAGTCACCACTTTACTGTGTCACAGACACCCCTCACACATCACCACATTCACATACATTTATGCTTAAAGATATAATATGCGCATCTTTCAGTAATATATTTTTATTGCAGAAAATTATTATGATCTATAAAATTCCTACTGAATATGTCTTATTTAAATAAAAACATATACAAACAATGTGTGGGAATCTGTGTTCCTTACTCGCTATATCATTAACTCTGACCCTTTTTTCTCGGTAACCTAATATGGTTTAGGATTATATACAGTTGAGGAATTGCTTAACTACTTTGTTTGAGCATTTCTCTGATTATCTGTTTATTTATTTTTTTTCGATTTTCTGCGACATTCTCTGGAATTTATGTCCGTTTTAGATACCTTTTGTTTTTGAACTGCAATATTTTTATATCTAAATTTCTTCCATAAATCAATGTAAGGGGTATAAGCAATTCTTCTATGTGGTGTAAGACGGTTATTTCTTCAAATGCATACATTCCTGTTTCCAATAAGAATGCATAGGTATGATAAGCCTATGGCTTTCATGAATCGCTCATATTTAGCATTTGTTTGCAGTCATAGCAGCGTTTTTGTCCTGTACATATGATAAGTCATCTCAAATATTCAAGTATTGTCGATCCAAGTTATTATATAGAATAATTGTTAATATTTTCATTCACTTTTGCATCATTTATGACAGTGAATTAATGTCCAAATAAGTATAAATGTACAAATGATTCAGTGACAAAACTAATGCTTCATTTTCTTTCTCTTGTTGATTGTAAGAAATGTGTTCAACATCTGCCAATGATCTAACCTTTACATTCGTAGAGTATTACTACAGTCACAGCCACCCACATCTTTATTTATTTGAATTTCCTTATTAGGACAAAAGTTGATCATGGCAGTGTAAATACTCAAAATAAATTCAAGTTTGATAAATGCTTCGAGTTCTTTTTTTCTTGAAAAGACGACGTTTTGATTCTTCTCTAGTGCTATAATTTAATAAAAAGATTTACATGTAATTTGACATTGCTAGAAAACTTCTTCCGTCATGCTCTGCTTGGTGATCATCCCATATAATACCTCATCTGAAATATTTCTTACGCCATGAAGACGTTCTAGTGTCGTACTTAAACTAATTTTGGAATATTTTTCTGTACTATTAATTAAAAACTTAGGCGTTTTTAAACCATTTTAATCCGACATGTGTTGTAATGTTTCGTGACAGTTCTAACTGGTGAAATCCATGATTTAAATCAAGAGAAAATTTTACACCACGTAGATTCACAATCATTGCATCAATTATTGGCAATGTATGGCATTGTGTCACTTTATGGATTGATTCAGTAGCCTATTGTTCACACATATCCTCATTTGCAGCTTTGGAGTTACAGCAGTAGGTGATACCCAGGCTGCGGGGCCCTCCTTTTTCTAAATGGCATCCAATACTTCAAGTACATGTTTCGGAGTTTTAAGTAAAAATGTATGCGCCTGTACGACTGTTTTACAGGTTTAAAATTTTGTCTACTTTTGTTCCTGTCATTTTCCCCATGCCTATAAACACAGATTCGCACTTCTTGTAAAGTTCATCGATCTTGCTGAATATGACTGTATTTATTTCTGGGATTATATTAAGGTCATCAAATGTCTAATAAGACAGAGGATTGCCACTGCTGCCCTTTGTCACAAATACTGGAGCTATTGCTATTTCGTTTTTAGATTCAATATGCCCCAGCAATTTACATACAAGTAAAAAGGTCAGTTTACTGGCACTATATGCAAAAATTCCGTGTGTGTTTTCTTTAGAAAATTTAAAGTTTTCGTTATATATTTTTTGTCAATTACATCTATTGATGAATTTTTTGTCAACAAAGTTTATTAATGATTTAATTATAAACTTTAATGTTTAGTCATTGTAATTGCATAGGAAGTCCATATATTTCATTTTCATCGTCGCCTTTGTTATTATCACTTTCGCTTTACGAACTGCCATTCAATTTGTATGTCAAACTTAAGTTCTTTTTCTTTGAGAGGCTTACTGCTTCAAAGTGTGCTTCCTTTAGAAAAATGTGCATGTGTTTTCTATTGGCTGGGGATTTTTTGATAAATAGGATTTTCATATCCAAAGTACCACCAACACGTCTTGATTCATTTATTTAGTCGTGTTTTCATGAAAAAAAAATCTGCTGATTACAGAATGGAATGATTTCTGATTTAATATTTTCAAATATGATCGAAAATTCACAGCTCATGCTTGATTGTCGCAATCGTGTGTGGAAATAGATAATGTTTTATCAACTTTCTGCTGTACCTGTCAAAATTTATAAATTTGAAAGATTGTGTTTTTCTTTAGAACAAAGTATTCCTTAAGTTTTGAATTTGCTGTTTCGAAACCATCCCCTCTCTCTTTAAATGTTTCAAAGATATTATTTACTTCTTTCCAAAATGAGCTATCTGGCATTTTTTATGTTTTCAATGTGACCGGTTCATCTTCTTCATCAGTTTTAATGCCTGGTTCTCTTACACTGAATGCTGGGAAAACTGGAAATTCTTTGTGTTGTATTGTCACTTTATCAATTTAACTGATAAGGACTTTGGTTGCAACAAAAATGGAAAACTATAATTCAAACAATAGTACATTTTCTAGTGCTCACTGCTTTTAATTATTTCTTGCAAAGCATATCAAATTATATTAATACCTTTATTTCTTTTTAATCCTCGCAGTCATTATACTGCATTCAAAACTCAATCAGACTATTCTAATATATTAACAGAGCCAGAGGTGTTGCAACGTCGGATACCCACGATTGATAAACATGTCACATAACATGCAATCAACCGAATATCGGCAAAACTTCCTATGGCTGATGAATGTTAATGGTTCGGCCGCGGGTATCCGACGATGGAGGTGTTGCAACATTGCAGGTATAATCTAAACTGTCTCTCTATATTTCTCAGTATGTGCATACATAAGTATATGCTAGATATAATTAGGTATTAGAACTAATCTCAAATACTAACAAAACTTCAGACGACCTAGCGTTGTTAGTACTCGAATCAGCGTGGCGTTTCACCAGCTCAACATTCTGCCCGGAAATGACCTCTTGACCACCAACATGGAATGTCATTTGCAGAACTAGGGCGTTGGGAATTAAAGAACTGGACCATAATACACTTCCGCCAAAAGAAAAGTCGTCCGCCCGACGATCTGCTACTTATGCATCATACCTGGAATTGTTGTTTGAAAAAGAAGAAAACATTATTATGCATATGACAGTGTTTATTCAGTGAAATTTTGACAATTATGAGCAAAAAAGGAAGCAAACGGCAGGGAGCGACCGTGGGTTCTTAATTGTTAAAACGTTCACTAACTTAGTAATTATTCTCATTTGATCCCGCTGGTACGCCTTCATCCTATAGAAAGTCGTTTACAATACAATGGGTGGAGTTAAGGGAGCACATTTTATTTAGCAGATACGTCAGAGCAAAGGCAGTCTGGGGACGGTGTGCATGCATATTATTTACATCGTGTACAGCTGCATTTCTTCAATGTTTCAATATTCTGAAAAATATTGGAATCCGACGTAAATGAATTTTGTAATATCATCCTTAGCCCTTTTCTGTATAATTTTGTCGCTTATAATTTCTCCATGGAATCATAAACAAAACGACCCGCCATACGCCATAAAAAGTGGCAATTGATAGATTGTATGAAGAACCTATATGATTGACCTAGTTCCCGCTTAGAATTTTACTAATGTCACACCGTTCTTATAAGACGGGGCTACTACATTCAGTTGATACATGCACACTTCGTTCCAAGCTCTTAATTATTAAGTGTTCGACTTAATAAATAAGTGACATAATGAATCTATTCGATTCAGAAGGGAATTTCTTTGAAAATTGGAGTGATTTCATTGACCGGCAAATGTTGTTGAACACTAAAAATATGACAAGAGGCACTAGCATGCGCTACGTCTCGATGTGTCAAGCCTTTTTATTGCATTAGCTTCGGCTTGTATGTTTACATTTTCAATATGGGCCTAAATGAAGCACATAGTACTCTCTTGCATGGTAGGCGATTTCCTTTGGGAAGTAACTGCCACTTTTATGTGCTTCACTATATGTTTGTTTGTTTATTTCATTTTACGCCTTTTCCCAACAGTATTTCAGTCATATAGGCGGGTAGTTTCCTAGCCATCGTTCCTGGAGAGTTACACCAGTACTATACTACCTTCCCCCGGCTAAACTACCAAAGCATCTCCCGGGGATCGAACCCACGCTTCACTATATAACGCAATGGAACGAAACACTTGGTAAATTGTGTCTATGTAAAGCTTCAAAACGATCTTGAATATCGATTAACTTTGTTTGATTCATAATTTTCTTGTCGTGAGAAGGTTGTTTCTAAAGTCTTTCAAGTTTAAAATATTTAATTGAGGAATCAAGAATCTATTTTAAACAGAGTTAAAGCTTTTATCGCTGAATCCCCCAATTTTACCAGTGTCTCCTTGTAACGAAACTCCACAACGTTAAGAGTCACCATTTGACTACATCGCTGTCGGACATATAAAACTAGGTCACAGGGGGTAAACGAATAATATCTTTATCCGGATTTTGCGAACGAGAAATCATGAATTTCAATAGAGGAAGCGTGTTTGAATGTGAATGTTTATCTTTTCAATGACAACTAATTAACATTTAATTCACATAATATTTCCCTTGTCGATGTCTATTTCATACCCAACACAGCGCAATTTTCTTTTCTTTCTTTTTTTCTTACTTTCATTCTTTTTTGATAAGATAAAAACAAATCGTTTATTCACCAAAATATAAATGGTACCTTATATCCAGTTTTGTGTCTAATGGCCAATACACTTACAACGCTACTCAGTGTATGGCTCACTTACCTTAACCAACCATATAAGGGAAAATCGTGGGGAAAAAGTGTACGGAAATTAACGAACTAAATAAATATATATACTTGTGTAATAAACATATCAAGTTAAACTATCGGCTGATCTTATCTCCTACATTTTATATACTGGTTATCTGCTAATCTGAATGTTAGAAAGTGGACAAAAATGAATCGTTCTATAATTTTGAAGCAGTTCTGCTTTGTTTTACTTATAATTGAAGGTAAGTAAATTATATTGATTATGCTTAGTCAGGAATGTAGTGTTACTGAAAGTAAAGGCTTATATTGTGTGATTTTATCTTGTTTCTGAATTTTCGCGCAATTCTAAATACACACAAATGTTTACATAAATATAAAAAATTATATCAGTTGCAATTAATTAAAAATTTTATAACTGAGCATATATAAATCGTCTCATATGTGCATCGCTTTTGGTCCCGATCGTGTTCAAAATTTTCATTTATAAAATAGAGATATGATATGTTATTTAATTTTACCCATGAAATATGGTGCTATATCAGTCAAATATATTTCATATTTTTTAAAAATAAATATGAAATATAAATATGAAAGAGGGCGGAGTAAAAACTCATATTTATTTTAAGGGACTTCTTCCGCCGTTTTGTTTAAAATCTGATAAATACAAAACAACTTTTTCTTGAATATTGTTTTGAAAACTATCTAGCATGATAGAAAATGGTCTAACTAAGAAAATTAATCCGAACACCAAAATCTTTAATTCAGTAATTAACGCTGTACAGACGTTTAAAGAGTTGTTTACATGGCGTCACAATGTAGCGCCAAACAGCGCGTGCTTACGCATAAATTACTGCGCGCTGTACAATTGCAGTTGGTTTAAACATATTTTATTCTATATATTTACATTATGATGAACAATATTTACACAATACATTTGGGATTGGGCAGAAAGCTATGAAAGCTTATGAGTGTCCTGTCCCAGTTTAAACAATTTACATATATACAGTTCATGGCATTATCATGCACAAAATTCATTTAGTTGAAAATATATCAAAGACATTTTCAAAAAATATGTATTTTGCAATTAATAAATACTTAATATATAGTCATGAGAAGAAAAAAAGCAAAAGAAAAATGAAACAAAATGGAGGTGAAAAAATAAATTTTTGTATGACAGATTAATTTAGTTAGAAGTCGCCGTTTCATTTTCACCTAGGAATGTGCAATCGAAAAGACACTGTTTATTAACGGAGACAAAAGAATGTAATAAGAATCTTAATTGATAGTTATAAAGTACAATTATGTAATTACGAAAAAAAACAACAACAAAAAACTACCAGCTAATATTGACAAAAAAACAAAAAAAAAATGAGAAAGAAAAGGAGTGGTGGATGAACAATAATAAAGCAACAGGAGTAAACAAAGATGCATTATATAGTAACTATGTATGTTTAGATGAACAAGCGTAAGTAAGACTTGGGGTACGCGCTAAAAGCGCTTCGTTTCTCGGATGTATTTTTGAACAGCTGTAAAGATAGATACATTAGACTCGTAAGATAAAGAAGTGTTTCCAGTAAGAATGACATTTAAAGAAGGATTACAAAATTGGAAATAGCCGTTATTAATTCTGGTCGAAGGTTAGTATATTTAGGGCATTCCAAGAAATAGTGATAAGCATTTTCTCTCGGACCACATTCGCAAAATGGAGATTCGATAATATTCTTTTCAAATAGATCGGCAGAAAGCGAGCTGCAGTGAGTGCGTAATCTTGTGTGAAAAAATTTGAAGTTTGCGATCACCAGAAAGAAAATAAGCAGGCACACTTGGCAAATCATTATTAAGAAGGCGCTTAAAAGAAGCTAAGGTTGGGGCATTTTGCGTTTGAGGTGGAAGAGAATTGAAATCTCTGATAACAGAAGGCAAGAATGATTTATAGTAATAATCTGTATTTGTGTGAATATTCTGGTGTGTCGTTTGAGTTCCGGAGTGGGTACCGATGCTCACTACCAACAGACGGAGGGACAAGGTCAGAGAGGTATTTGAGGGGTAAGACATTTTTTCATTTTAAAGAAAAGAATCAATTTATGTTTGTAACGCCTTTTTTCCAAGGATTCCCACCCAACTTCTTTCATGAGTTTATCAATAGACACAAGTTTAGTTGTTCCGGTAATTATTCTAGCTGCTTCTTGGTGAATTTGTTCGAGCTCTTTTTTATCATTTTGATTACAATTGTCAAATAATACATCTCCATATTCTATAATCGGTCTAATAAATGATAGGTATATGATTTGTAGTGAGTTCCTGTCGAGTTGAAATTTTAGTTTTTTCATGACATTTATTCTTTTCCAAGCTTTATTTTTAATGTATTCAATATGTGTTGACCAACGTAAATCATGAGTAAAAGTAATACCTAAGTGTTTGTGATTACGTACTTCTTTTATTTGTGTGTTTTGCATAAAAATAGGAGGATGATTTATAAGTCTGTTTGTTTTACGCGATATTAATAATGATTCTGTTTTAAGGGGATTGAATTTTACCAACCACCTTTCGGCCCAAGAAGTTATGTTTTGCAAATCTGTGTTTAGGATAGTGGAAGCAGTGATAGGGTCTTCTACAACAATAAAGAGATTTGTATCGTCAGCGAAAAGTCTTATATTTGCATTAATATCGATAACAATATCATTAATATAAACAAGAAACAACAGTGGCCCAAGAATAGACCCTTGCGGCACACCAGCGTTTATATAACTAAAAGATGATTTACAACCAGGGAGAACGACTCTCTGTCTTCTGTTCTTGAGATAAGAAGAAAACCAAGAAGAAAGACGACCAGATATGCCGATCGAATTTAATTTGAAAATAAGTCCTTTGTGCCAGACTCGATCAAACGCTTTACTTATATCACAAAAGACAGTTCGTACTTCTTTACCAGAATCAATGGCCTGTGCAAAAGTATTATATAAATATGTTAATTGGTTTGACAGTGGAGTCTCCGGGAACAAAAAACCAGATTGAAGAGATGTCATAATGTTGTTAGATCTCAGAAAATTAAACGTGTGTTTAAATATAATTCTTTCAAAGACTTTGTTGACTGTACTAATTAGGGATATGGGTCTGTAATTATTAACTAAAGACGGGTCACCCGATTTAAAGAGAGGAGAAACATTAGCTTCCTTCCATGCATCTGGAACTTGAGCAATCTGAATAGAATAGTTAAAAAGAGCACTTAAAGGACCACTGAGTTCATGGGAGAGTTCGCGAAGGATTCGATTGTTGATATTGTCAGGACCAGCGGCTTTTCCCAAAGGAAGAGATTTTAGTACCAATTCCACTTCGCCGCCCGGTGTTATACTTATATCATCCAGATGGTTAGTAACGTTAGGTAAATCGGGGAGACGGGGAGCTTCACTTTCATCAATGCGTGTCTGTGTGACAAAAAAGTCGTTCATAAAATTGGCCTTTTCAATGTTGTCAGATATGATAATGTTGTCATCAGAGGTAAGTGGTGGTATTGAGGTAGAATAGGAAGGTTTGATAAATGATTTAAGAAGAGACCACCAACTTTTTGAATTTTGATTTTCCTGCTGTAATTTTTGGGCTAAATTGTCGATATGCTGTTTCTTTGCTACGCGAATTTTTGATATTATGTGATTTCTCAGGGTTCGAAACCGGGCCCAGTAATAAGGTGAATCAGTTTGTTTTGCTTTACGATACAGTCTTTTTCGTTTTCTACTAAGTAATCTTAAGTCGTTTCTAAACCAAGGAGGCTCGTTTTCTCGGATCAATACTTTTCTATTTGGGATACATTGCTTCGAGATATTGATTATGTTGCTGGTTATGTTATTAGTATATTCGTTTATATCTTCATTCTTCAGTGAATCCCAATCACTTACAGAGGCCAAGTGTCTTAAGAAATCGTAATTACCCTTATCAAATATCCAAACATTTCGATAAAAAGAAAGTCGCTTAGGTTTTTTCAAATTTAGTAAACAGTATATAGGACAGTGATACCTGACATCCTGCTGGAGAAAAGGATCGCCAACTCCGCTAGTATGAATGAGATAGTTGTTAGAAGTAAATATAAGGTCAATTATTGACGAAGAAGATTCCGTAAAGTGTGTAGGTGAGTCAATAATCTGATGCAATGACAACTGGCAACATATATCTCTAATTTTCTTAGAAGAAGTACTATTTAGGTTAAAGTCACCCATCATTAAGATATTATCTATACCTGTATCAATAGCCAGATGCATAGAGTCTAAAATCAAGGCATGATGGGCATTGTCTATGTTTGGGGGTCTATAAAAAACTCCGAATAAAATATGTTTGTTTGAAAAGACAATTTCTATCCAAATGCATTCAGTTCCGTTAATTTCAAGATCATCGCGTCTTTTGTAGTGGATATAGTCCTTAACATAAAGTATAACACCGCCGTGGTTATCGGCACGATCTTTCCTTTCGGGATTAGCAAAGGAGTGGAGAAAGAGATCAGAAGTTAAAATATGTGGGCCAAGCCAAGTTTCTGAAAAGCAGAGAATATCAAAATCCTTAAGCTCGGAGTAAATAATATCAAGTTTTAGGGCAATGCTCTGGACGTTGTAATGAACAAAAGAAAGGTTTCGGGAAAGATGAATAAAGTCATTATCAGAGGAAGCCGATGATACTGAAGACGCACTGGATACCGGTCCTGGGTTTTTATGAACATCACCCGAAAGTAGAATTATAGTATGAATATTCCAGACTTGAACAAGCAAGAAAAGCATTACGATGGAACAGACTACAATGGACGAAAAGATAAAGTTGGAGTGCTGTTTCTTACTAGGTGGATGTTTGCGACGAGTAAGTGGTAGAGATTAGTGTTGGGAATCGGAAGACAAACTCATAATCGATTAATCGGAACAATCGGATAGGCTCTCCGATCAATTAATCGGAATAATCGGACTGAATGTTTTCCAGCATAACTAATTAGAAAATAGAAATCATTATAACTTTTATTTAATATAAATTAATGCTTTATCTAATTGTCTGTTTAACGTATTACAAAATACAAACTCTTCAGTCAGGACACAGTTTACATACATGTAATGATTTTCATATTCATATTCAGAAAAATCAATGTGTCCCTGTTGCCAGCATTTACTTATTTAATCAAAAATAAAGTTTTTATTTAAGTGCCTATTTCACAATCGAGCTAAAATAAATATGGTTAAACTAAGGAAATTTTGACATTCAGGGTTCCAATTCCTGTGGGAACTATTCATGGACATATAAATTATAATAAATTAATAACTGCTACCAATAATTGATAAAATGTATCTATGTGATTAATAAATTAATTTAATATGCATGATCAGGAATAAAAATGTAAGTTACCATTTCACATAAAAAATTTAATTATTTTATTTCATTTTTAATAACAGAATCGCCGTACCATAAACAGTGTCATGGTATATATAAGTTTAGAAGCCTTTTAAATTTATTATTTAACATTATAAATGGACAGAGTAACGAAGATTGTTACAGTAAAATACAGAACCAGAATCCGATTTTAATTTAAAGGGGTGGGGTACCTTTATTTGCATATCATTTACCACAAAGCTTGCACACAAATTTAGCCATGTCAAAGATAACAACTTGTCAAGGGTAGCGGATCCTTCAATATTCAGCTTGTGGAAACCAAAATGTTTCCAGACATTTAATGATGTTTTCGTGAAGATTGAAGAGTATTCAAATTAAATAGCGCAAAGCTAAAAAACTACGAAAAATAACTAGCACAAAGGAACAAAAATTAACACTAAGCGACAATCGATTCTGTTCGACCATAATCGATGTCGGCGACATTATCAACATACCGATCTATAATCGAATAGCGGCGACAATCGGACCATCACTAGTAGAGATATATTTTTGAAAGTTAAATCATGAGCGGAGATACTTAACCTAATGCATATTGGAATATAGCTGAGAAATGTGAATGTGAATAATAGTGATTGTAGAAGTAGAAATCTAAACATGAAGCGGATGCGAAACGCTCTCTCTGTAGTTGGCGGTGTCTGTCTTTTATGTTTCATGTGATTTCGGACAACAAAAAAAGAAATTTATCAGTAGCCAATACAACAGAGAGAGGTATAGAATCACGAAATGCTATAATCAAGCATCTTATTGGATACTCAGACAATGTTATGTTCATCCTTAAGAAACAAAGAAGGGGAGAGAAGAGCAAAAATATAAATGAAAACATGTTATATTGCGATGTTAATTGGAAATTGATTATTGTCATAATAAAGAGAATAACAAAAATCTGAAAAAGGAAAAAAATTGAAAACATACTTGTTGGTTGGGAGGATAGTTTGTCTGTTGTACTAAATTTTGATAGAATGATAAATGTTTAGATTATTTTAAGTGAAAAAAAAAATTTTTCTTATGCGATCATTGTAGGTATGAGTTACACATTTACGCATGTTTTTTAATCATAAAATTTATTTCAAGAATAATAAGACAGAAAATAAATACTAGTTCCTATTAACATTAATGTAAAAAAGCGTGAAGAGCGAATAATTCTATAAGTAGGTCGTAATCTAATGTGCTAAATATAATTTTGTTAAGGATATTGAAAAAAGAAAAAAAAGTAATGATATTAGAAAATTGTTTAACAGTAAAGGATTCGTACATATAACATATTGTCATGAACGACATATAAATATAAATATATCAACTTATTAAACGTGGTCATGTCTACATTTACTTATATCGTCATCATGTGATATAACATAAAACCATCGGCAAATAGAAGATAATTGTACAAGATCAATATCATATCATACATACACAATAATATAAACATGCCATTAATATAACATTCACGGTACCATCAACAATGTCTACACTTTGTACATTATCATTATCATGTTATATATATTTCACAGTGACATATACAAGTCATTCAATACACAAAAATCCATCATCAGGCCATTTTTATGTTACTAAATTATTATATCTGCAAGGCATTAATGTAATGCAAATCAAAACCATTACCATACCACATGCTACGCAATACCATAATAATGGTATGCATGTTATACAAAGCCATTACTGCTATATGTAAAAAAAAAAAAAAATCTATAAGTGCCTAACATACCACATAATTCCATTATATATATAAAAAATTATATATATTTATAACTCGAGCCCATTCAAATGACATATAAGAATGAGCATAAACATGTCATATATGATGCCATATAACAAGAAGAACATGAAATAAACATGTCATATAACGGTATATTGCACCATTGTCATGATATATGTGTAATTGTGAAATAAATTTACTTATACGATCAGAAAAAAGTATGAGTTACGCATGTTGTTTTCAAAATCTTAAAGTTGATTCCGAAAAAAAAAGATAGAAAATAGATAATAGTCTCTCAAACTAGTTTATAATAATATTAGTACAAAAAGCTTCACGTGCAAATGATTGATTCCATAAGAAGGTCGTGATCTAATGTACAAAAGATCATTTCTATAAAGATATTGAGAAAAGGAAAAAAAGTAATAATATTAGAAAATTGTTGACAGTAAGGAATTCGTACATGCTACAAAGTGTCATGAACGACATATAAAAATATATGCATCAACATATTAAACATGGTAATGTCTTCATTTACTTATATCGCCATTGTACAACATAAAAAGCATATCATACCTACAAAGCAATACAAAGATACTATTTATATAGCGTTTACAGTACCATCAACATAGTGACATACTGTCATACTAAAACGCAAACATGCTAAAGAACAGGGTTTACAGTATATAGTTTTCATCATGTTACGCATGTTTTTTAATATTGTAATAAAGACTTTTTGACTTCGCAGACATGTAGTGACTTCTATGAACCGTTATAATTATGTCATATATCCTACGTTACATTTATTTAGTCATTATTTAGATGTACGTTATAAGTATATCAAAAATTTAATTAACCGTATAAGTGCTGTATTGGATTTTATCCGGTATTTACATAAGATCTGTGAAAATCATAATCAAGTATTTAAAACATAGAACAAATTTTACATGCAAAAATGTGTATTCAGATAACACTGATAAATAAGCGTGGCTTTCGGTATTTTGACAACACCTCAATCATAGATTATAGTATATCAATAGCACAAGTATTGCATGATCACGTGATTTATATTTAGTTTATAGATAGATTTAGTATGACACACTAGTACTGTCTGTTCAAATCAGCGATCAAATCTTACTAGGTCGTCACTATTGGTTATTCGGTTGCAATTGCAGTTGGTAGCAAGCAAGGGGATTCGTTACCATTTTCTTTGATAATGAAATTAAATAAAAAGGTTATTTTTTCGTTTTTTTGTGAAATATGGTATATATTTTCACTCAACATGATAAAATGCTACATATTTTCACTCGCCGTACCGGCTCGTGAAAATATGTGGCATTTTATCATGTTTCGTGAAAATATATTCCATATTTCACGCAAACGAAAAAATATCCTCTTAATATTCCGTTTATCTAATAACGTAACAAATAAAATATTAACATATTGCACAATATATCTTATTGTGCTTGAACACATAAAAATTAGATATGACTGTACCACCACATTATCAGAACAGTGGAGTGATGGTAGATCATTTATGGCAGGATTCTCTTTCGAAACAATTCGCACTGGTGCGATAACTGGTTATGATACCCAGGAAGCAGTCAACAGACGTGACGTGGCGTGTCCATGTCCGCTAAATTAGCTTTCAACAAACAAAACAAAAACAGACTTAAATGAGATGCGGGATAAATAAAATCACCGCATAAGATGGATTGGTGGCTCAATAGGTAGAGTGTTGGACTGTGAATCGGGCGACCCAGGACCGATGCGGTGGTTGAACTGTGCTCTGATAAAATTAATGTGGCTTACTGTCGTGATCCGGAGTGAAAACTACCAACACCACCACAATAGACCAACGCCCAGTTACTTGCAAGGATTGTTCAATTTTAGGCACAGATATATCCCAAATGTATGTTGCATATCAGGATGTTATTTTTACTATGCCTGAAAATTATACCTTGCATTTGGGTGTCATTTTGGCGCATTTTAGAATGAACTGCATTCATAAGATGTTGTCATTCGCTCGTTATGAATGAAGTTGTAAATTTAATCGCTACTGTAGGAAAAAAGTAACGGATAAAATGATATTAACTTTCATGAAAAAAAATAATTTGAGGTAAACATTGCAACATTGACATTCCGCAAATGATGCCTTTGATACATGCACATGCACTAAATTTGTTAAAAGTAGTATGTGTATAAAACACAAACTGCGCTTACATGCTTCTGTAGATACAATTTGTGTTGCATCTCTATAAACAGCCATAATTTATATTGGAAAATTCAAAACAGGTACTTGCCAAACCTGCCCAAAACCCAAGGGAAACAACTGTCTCCCGAACAGGAGTCCACCTACATCCTGTATTACACAAGTTGAGGATGGTACGAGATTAACGTGGTTCGACATGCAGGAAAATTGTGGTAAAGACGAAGGGAGACTGGTATGGCTTAGAGATGATTTCACTGCTAGTAGTTTAGCAGCCACTGAATCATCGCTGACCGGCGCAAGCTTTACGACCACAGATTTTCTTGTGATTGGCCTTCTACACTCAATGAAAAGAGATCATTTGAATTTCTGGAGGAACCCTTATAGTAGTAAGTAGAACATGTGACTATCAAATGTTATTTCTAAAAAGGTTTATAACACCGCACTTATGGATCAAACGCACTTTGGGGTCAAATCGAGAAATGAGCCCTTAAGTGCGTTAATTTGCAACATTTCAACGCACTTTGGGTTCCATATTTCTGAGAGTGTCAACTCAGTTCTGCTTAAGTATTGAATACTCACTTATTTTCCATTTTCAACCTTAAAATATTTAAGGTGGAGTTTAAGATGACGGTCAGTAATTAGATACAACATTGTGTAATCAAATATTCTTACTTTGTGCTATTTAAAAATGTATTTGTTGCTTACTAAATGTAAGTGAGTTACCACTATAAATATCACGAAAATTTTGACAATATATATACAATGTACTATTCAAATTGTAAAATTTTATGTATTCTTTAAAATTGTAGATGTTTCGAGGAGCATTCTAGAAAAATTTACTCACACTCCGTTTGCTTTTAATTGATAACATCGCCGCGCACCATTTATAAAGTTCAAAGTTTCAAAGTTTTATTCATATCAAACCAGAAGGTCAACGACCCATGTGGCAAAATGCACAGTACAAATTACAAATATGGCAATTTACATACTAGCATATAAGACCTGCATAAATAATATTAACGAACATATTTCCGTATCAGTGTATGTAACAGTAAACAAAACTTATTTAGCAAAAGGTATAGAGTTTTGCATATATAACAGTTTACATAATTACAAACATATAGAAATGAAAACTGATGACAGATATGAATATAAACTGTCCAAAATACATAGATAACTAAGTGATATATGCAGTTTACCGAAAATAAAGCATATTACGATTTTAGTATTTCTGGTAACAATGATTCGCTGAATGAGTAAGATAATATATTATCTGAGAAGACCATATTTGTCAGCCTTGTCCGAAAAACGAAGGCAACAAGATTGACATATGGTAAAACAAATAGTTGCTTAGCAATATCGTGTATACACTAAAATAAAAGATATATTTACTAATTTCATTTTACAATCACTTAAGTTGCACAGTTGACAAAGTTTACTGCACCTTAATTACCTTAATAACGTTGAATGAAAATAGTGTTGTTCCTAACATTAAAAGCTTTTTCAATATAACATGCAAGACGTTTTATAATAGTATCATTATCAGAGTTCATAAGAGCAATAAATTTTATCATATTTGGGTGTCTCCAATAATATGGCGATATAAACTGCTTTCTTAGGTTAATATATCTATTACATTGTAAAACAAAGTGAAACTCGTCCTCTAAAACATTACATTCAGAACATTTGCGATCATCATAAGGAATAGCCCTTGGCTGGTGCCATCTACCTGTTTCAACATATAATCTGTGTGATGACATACGTAATGGTAACAAAGATATACGAAACTTTTTAAAATTTAAAATATTTAAGTACGGTTGAAAGCAAAAATTGCTAATGTTTCTAAAAAAGATTGCTCTAGTGGAATTGTTTGGTCTATAATTCCATTTCTGAACAAACTGGTCTTTTATTCTTTCTTTGACATTTAACAAAAACGATCGACATCACCAACTGTTTGAAATATCCATGCGTCTATGAAATCCAATTCACAAAGTAAGTTTTTAACTAACGTACACCAATTTCTCCTATTAGGATTATAAAGAACATCATTATATAACATATTATATACTTTTTTAACATATTTGTGATCTGACATATACAAAATTTTTATCCAATATTTAATAATGTTATAAAATCTTATGTTTTGTAATGACATTCGACCTAAGTCTGCATAAACAAAATCATTTTGAGTGGATTTCTTTACACCCAATAAACGTTTACAAAATTGTGTTAATTCCCTCAATGGTAACACCGGGGTGAAATCCCCAGACCTCAGAACAATTACAAATAGGTAGGACTAACTTATCAAATAATTCTAATCTATGTTTTACAGATACATCAGTAAATTTATATAGATATTTGTTCATTTTAAATATTGCCTTTAACCCTTGGCCAGCTTAAGTATTTTGTGCATCAGCAAAACAACCAGATGTCGTAAATACGATCCCTAGATATACAAAACGATTAACGATCTCAATGTTATTTTTACCATATATAAACTGCAAATTTGCTCGAAGGCGCCCACCCTATCTAGATATAAGTATTTTAGTCTTTGATGTATTTACTAACAACTTTTATCTATTACAGTAATCATATTGTAAGTCTAAACTAGATTGCAAATTTGTTTCACTATCAGCAAATATATCAATATCATCTGCATATAAAATAAGGAACATTTTAAAGGTATCTACACTAATGCCATCAAGGTTACTATGAACAAAAATGTCTTCAATATCATTTAAGAACATAGAAAATAAAAATGGGGATAAACATTCCCCTTGTCTCACACCTAAGATACATTCAAAACTATCACTTAATTGATTTAAGTATTTTACCCTAGATTTAACACTTTAATTGAAACATCGAACGCATTATATTTTAAATATTTCCCCTAATACCTAATTTTATAAGTTTTGTCCAAAGGCAGTCCCTACTAACATAATCAAAAGCTTTTCTGAAATCTATAAAAGCACAAAATAATTTTCTTCCACTATTTATGACATGATTAATAAGCCCATGAAGTACAATAAACAATAAATGAATTGCGCTTTTAGGGCGACTTTGTCGTTATAAAATGTAAGTTTTCAAAATGCGTGAAAGAAAATGAATCAAACACCGGCTATTGTAACTTTCCTTTGCACTTTCCTGTTTGGAAACTTCACGATTTCAACTTCACGAACTCAAGATTTCAATTCACGAAGTTAAAATCATGAATTCACGAAGATAAAATCGTGAAGTTAAAAATTCGAATTCATGAAGTTAAATTCGCGAAGTTGAAATCGTGAATTCGTGAAGTTGAAATCGTGAATTTATTAAGATGAAATCTTGAATTCATAAAGTTAAAATCATGAATTCGCAAATTCCGTATGTTCATGAAGTTGAAATAAATGATTGCAAATTCGTAAAGATGAAAAAGAGAATTTAAGAAGTTCAAATGTCACCACCGGTTTTTCGTAACAAAAATAGATGGATTTTGTATTTTTCGAAAATTAAATTGTACGTGTTTAGAAATAATTTCTGTCGCGAATTGACGTGAATTTCATTTAAAAATGGTAGCAGGATGGCACCCGCTGAAATTTAATTCAATGCAGGTCTGTTCTGAGAATTATTACTTAATTGCATGTTACCTCCCTTTAATATAACTATAAAAAATGATATGGGTCGTCACCAGGTGATAATTTTGATCAGATTGAAATAAGTGTGTCACGCAACCGTTACGTACAACCCTAGTGCATGGGCTAAGCTTAAATACTATGTTATCTAATGAACAATGAATTTTTACACTCAGTACATACCAAACATTTTCATATGTATTATCTCTATGAGAAACATTATTGAATATAAAAATACAATCAATTGCAAAAAGGAAACCAAATAAATTCAACTATCGTCTGCTATTGTATCCGACACACACTGTACACGCCAAAGCCTCTACTTGTAGTTAAATAAGATGGTAAATAAAAATGGGTATGGCAAAATTAAAATAAATATAATACCGCAGCACCATCTCGACATGATAAAAATAATTAGTGTTTAAATGGATACAGCATCCACAGGTGAAGCATGTTGCAGAGCAGCATTATAAATATATATAATTGTATAGGTTTGCATAATATGAAATAAAAACTGTTTAAACCAAATATATGAAGTACAAGTATGCTGTGTATTATGTTATACATGTATAATGTTAAATCTCTGTTTGACAGATGATACACTGTCTTGTGGAACAGACGACACGGGTTTATGTTTGCAATCACCTGCAACAGAGAAACAGTGTAACATGATAGGATGTTGTTGGCTACACGGGAAATGTCAATATCCAGGTATATATTAAATTACCAGTGTGAGATATAAGACGACAAAAATCGACTTATTTAAGAAATAGTACATAGCACTTGGGGCCACATGGAATGATAGTGACCAATCAGTCACCCCGCAAACATTTAACGGACCGAAAGGGTCCTTGCTGACTGGGAGGTCACTATAATGCTTTGAGGTTCGAAGAACTGTTTTAAGCTATTTCTTATATTATACCACACTTTACTAGAATATAATGCTAACAGTTCAACGAGGATCCGAAGAAGTCATATTGTTTAATTGGAAAATTTCTAGTTAATTGTTTGTTTTGCGCGTTTTGTAAATCAATTTGTATTGATTGTAAAAAGCAACAATTTATTCATATCTAAGTAATTTAATGATTTATTCTTTCTAAAACCTTGACGTCTTAAATACAAAATTATCATATGTATGTCTTAGAATTTCAAATTAAATGTGACAGAGAAAAATACAATATTTTAGAGCGTCAATGGCTGCTTGAGAAAACCGGAAGTGACGTCATAGATACAACAGCAATCCCTGGGGGTTCAGACAGAAGTTGCGTTGGACTACAAAGAAGTGACAAGGCTTGGTCATTCAAAGCATTTAGCTGTTCTTCACCGCCGGCTTCAAATACAGGATATGTCTGTGAATACAGTAAATATTTCTTTAAAATCCGACAACTCAATATGACAATACATAAAGCATTTTTTTCTATCATTTTACATAACGAATATATGATTTCTATGTCAAAGAAATATTTTTTTTAAAGTTACATTACTGAAATTCAAAAAGTGAAATTTTGTATACAATTTAGAATCTACATGCATTTATTTTTAATAATTTGATAATTACTAATTGTTATTTCGTATTCAATTGCTTCTTTGGAGCATGACAATTTAAACAGGATTTGTAAAGTATGGAAATATTCATTAGTTCCTTTAGGTATTGTAATTGTAATTGGTTCTTTGGTGCGTTTCAATTTGCACTGGTTCTTAGATATATGGCAATTTGTATTGGTTTTCTGATGTATGGCAACGAAGAGTTAAAGGGCATACGTATACCTTTGTTCACTATCTTTATTCTTGATAAACCGATGCAGTGATTATTAAATAACTCGACAGAAAATTAATTCTCTCGTACTGATCTACCATGTAAATATTTAACTTCAAATATTACGTCTTTGATCATTTTCTATATAGACTTTAAGACTTTTTGAGGCCATGATATATCAAATGGTGGAGTTTTTTGTCAATAATTATCAAAGTTGATATAGACATATAGTTGGCACGTAGAATTTTGTTGTTTATCTCAAACTTAGGTCTAAAAACCAAATAAACATTTATTAACATTCTACTAGGTTTATTTCATAAACCAGATCTTTAAACAAAATCAAAAACTTTCTTTGCCACAAATCTCTTAGAATTTCGTTCAGTTTTGAAAATACCAGTCTTAAAGAGTACGTTCTATCAATAATGAAAATATACGTTTTCTCGATGATATAAATATATATCACTTTAATGTTTTTACTTTACTTTTTAACAATAATGAAAAAATCATTATCTGCGTTTTATCTGCGATAATGAAAATACATAAACGTATCTTTATCACGTTCTTCACGTTCTATAAATAATGAAAAATATCCATCACTTAATGTTTCTACTTCATATTCTATCAATAATAAAAAATATCTACAAGTCATAATAAAATTATCTACAAGACATCACTCAAATAGACTGATGCTAAACATCATGCGAAAAAAATGAAGAATTTAAAGAAATGTCTAAATTAAGGACCATCAAGACATTTCAATGCAAGTATATATAAAATGCTTTGTTTGCAGAGTGTCAGTCAGCCTGGCCGATAAGTCCGTTAAAGAACGTGTCGTGGCCTAGGAGCGGCTCGGCCGGGGTAAGTTCAACACCTGGCACAGTGACGACAACAGTCGGAAGAAACGGGGCTGGAGAGAATTTCAACAATCGAGTACGTTTTGTCATTTTTCATGCAAACATTTTCAATCTAACTATATTTCTTTATCAACATATTTAGTCTGGTTCCTTACTTAATTATATTTCCATTATTATCCATACTGTAAGGGATGGGTAAACCAAGTAACCTCAAATGCTGCATGATGTTGCACTCAACAATAAATGCTGCAATCACTTTTGATATTGTATTTATTACATTACATGTAATTCGTTTTTCGTTAGGGTGAGTTAAATTTACATGATAAAAATGAATTAAATTCACATGATGAAAATGTGAAATTGCGTAATTGATTTGAATCTGAACTTCTAATATGTTTAAAAGGTTTGTTCAACATACACACGATTAATGTATATGAGTGATAGCTGATTAAATTCTTTATATTTCAGGAGATGATCGCGATTTCCTACGTCACTGTGTGTCTTATGCTACTGTTTAAGTAATGTGATATGGACTGACCGGACTACTTTATTTCGCTTTTTATTAGTTACACAAACTCTCCAAAACGCTTGTAAAATAAGACTTTAGTTTTCTATGTTAAATGGACTATCGTTATTTATAAAACAAACTTCAAACAACTCATAGCAATTTATCTTAAAGATAAAACATCAAGTATCAATACTTAAAAGTATTTGATATTTAGGTATTTCAAAGCGTTAATATGTCTCCTTAAAGATAAACAGTCAAGTAGACGTGATTATATTTGAATTAAACGAAATTGAAACAAAAAATAAATTGATCCCTGGTGAACTTAATTTGTCTATCATTTCAAATGTGTTTAATTGATAGTTTTTTCTTATAGTAACTGATCTGTTTCTAATACTTTCAGTGTTAAATGTACTTTATTTCTATATAATAATAAAAACATACAGCATTTTGATAAGGCATTGGCATGTACATATTATATAATAACTTGTAAACAAATTTGAAACTCCAGCGACTACTTTACAAAGATGAAAGGCAACCGTCAACAAATAAAGGCTATATCAGCCTGGTCTGGTCTGTCATTAAATAAGGCACTGACCAATATTCTAATTGTTAGCTGTTAACAAGGCTGTCTTGTAGACCTGTAGTTAATATTGCCATTTTAACCGTTGTTTGTTTCTTTTTTAAACCACCATTATTGCTGGAATTGACCCCACCCCCGCCACTTATCCTATTCCTACGTGCCTACTTCCTCTCACTGGTGTCTATAGACCTTTTTACAATACGATTTTTCCATAGCAACCGATGTTGCATTTCGCGCATGCGCATTCTGCGTAGGGCAAAAGCGCAATAACGATAGACTACATTTAGCGTACTTGAAGGCTATAAAAGACGTGATTAAAAGTTATGTCACCCAGAAAACAGAATTTTTGTGATGAATTAAAGTGGTAAGTACTTCAAACGTGAATTGATATTTATAACAGATATATAAAGTTAGCGGGACTAATAATTCAATGACCAAAAAGTCCTGTTCAAGGTATCATACAATGACTTTTTCGTCAGTAATTTAAATTGAAACAGCAGGGTGTTAAAGATACAATTTTATTACCCATGTATTACATAATATTAGACAATCCTATATTCCTTCGAAAGTGGTTTGGCAAGGCGGTAAGTGTCAGACGGATTGACACGTGATCGAGTGACCGCTTAATTGATATTTGCCAGCTATAGTTTTCAGTATCATTCAATCGGGGCGTCTTAGTACCATGACATATTTAATCACATAAAATTATGAAATCATCGTAATTTAAGTTACTTTTTAAGTTTATACCATCGATGTTTATTAATTTTGTAAAGTGACAATTAAATAGTGTACGTGGCGTGTATTTTAGGTGTCGGCCCGGTGAATTTTCGTATTCCTTGTCTATAGTAAATCATTCACATTTGAGGCTTAATTCTGGATTCCACTGTTCTTGTTGAATTATATACTGTCTTCAACTTTAAACATCAACATTATCAGTCAAATGAGGCCCAAAATATAATAGGTTAGCCATCTACTTTTTTCAAAATCTTCATTCTGTTGTAACACTGTTTAAATTCACCACTTTAAAAACTCCTGACTGCTGGTGGGTGGTCCATCTTTAATCCTTCCGCCAACAAATGAGTTCCTGGAGAATACACAAAACACAACTTTTAAAGTCATCATATAACACACAAAACTACACACATGCAATAAATACACATTAATTATGACCAATCTAACTAGAGATGACTTAAATTGGGCCACTTCAAAATTTTAAAGAACTACTTTCTAGACAAAGGGTTCGGTCTAATTCCGTACCGGGTTGAGACCTTTAATGTTTTACGAGAAACCGGATAAAATGTGTGTTATTTTATAACCCATCTTAATCTATCAAGAGTTTGAAACATTATTTAAATATATCTATGTGTCTTAAAAAGTTTCTGCTTGGCATCACAGTCAAGTCGGATAAAGGATAATATTAGGTAAGCTGAAAACTAAAAATACATTAATTATCACGTGTTCCGACTTATTTTCAGAATAATAATTAATACACCTCTATTTTAAATGTTATAAAATTTCTTTAGTTTTTATAAGAACAATTTTAACAACAATTAAATTGACTTCTTTATTTGATAATATATATCGTATCGATTTATTCAGGGAATAGACATATACACATACAATTTTATCACAGATATCAACTTGCATAAATATAAAAACACACACATAAATGCAACAAAAATTATTATAAGATTAATTAATGAGTATATTCTATGTAACCCTAGGTTAGCCCATTAAGCTAAAAGCTTATTTCCAATGGGGTCCATTTTCTGTAAAATTATTACACTAACTTACATAATAATAAATGAGTTATAAAGAAGTTAAAATAAATGACAATTTTCAACAATCAAGACACATTTTTCAATATAATAAGACAAGTACATTGTACACAAACAAAAAGAAATAAATTTTGTTTAAACTAAAACATATCAAGTACACATAAACATGTTACAAAACCTTATCATAAGTTACACATCAATTTAATAATAAATAAACATATTATTCACTTGTTTATCATTTTCATTACTTAAAAAAAGTTTTACTTTCGTTTTAAATGTTTGGATATTGTCAATTGATCTAATGTTATCTGGTAAAGAATTCCAGTCTTTTATGGCATTGTAGAAAAATGATGTTCTTGATTTACATTAAAATTATAACTAAAATAGCATATCTTAACCATATCAAGAGTTTGAAACAAATTGGGATTTAAATAAGATCTATTCTGTGACAAATAAGTTAAACGGGTGAACCTTAATTCTGCTTGGCATCGACAGGATCAAGTCGTGTTATAAACCATAACCTTATAATTTGAAGCTAGTGTTTAAAGCTGGCTAAAGGGAACATAAAAAATACATTAATGTATCAACGTTGTTTCTGACTTATATTTCAGAAGTAAGAATAATTAATACACCTTCTATTTTAAAATGTTATAAATTTCTTGAGTTTTTTTATAAGAACAATTAACAAACAATTAAATTGGCTTCTTTATTGATAATATATATATTTCGACATTTTTTACAACAATTATCTCATTGTCATGTCCGTGATCGTAAGGGGGAATTCTTAAACAATCGTCTTTTCCGTGCCTTTTTGTGGCAACGCAATAAATGTATCTTTCATGCTTGTGTAAAAAGCTAGTTTATATGATTTCCTAACTTTTACCTTAAACTAACTCGGAATTATCAATGAACTTCTACTACATTTCTATTGTAGGGCAACGCTTTTTTGCCCTACACAGATTGCGCATGCGCGAGAAAATACTGCTTCCGGTCAATTTTTCATAGCAACGGACCGCGTTGTAAAAAGGTCTATAACTGTGTGAAGTTTGAAGAAGAATCCATCGATAGTTTATAAGTGTTATCCTAGACAAGAATTTTTTAGTTAAAAAAAGCAAATGGGAGGACGGGAAATTGACAAGGATGTGAGCATGCAAGAAAAGTGCTGTGCATTGTTGCCCATCGAGATTGTATGCACGAAAATGCATTTACTTGTTTTGATAACATTATTATGGAGTTCATACTTGAATCAGCATGTAACTTTATTGTAATCTAATTTTGATAAGCAGACGGTAAAACTTTGACACCGATTCATTCTCGTACAACGTCAACAAGCACTTCAACTGCAAGTACTTGATCAAGTAAATCTTTGAAGAAAACAAATAAATTACCAGATGAAGATTAGCCAAGTTTGTAAGTCATAAAATGAATGGTTAGACTTACAAAATGACTTTGAAAAAAAAGATTCCGCTTGCAGTATTGGCTATAATATGTTTGAATGCATTGTTGTAGAATAATGGGCGGTTCAAGTGCGCAGGAATATACATGTACTCATGCAGGCCAGTAGACCTGAGCGATTAATTACAAATCATTTGAACAATAAACAATGCATTATAGTAGTACAAACAATACAAGGCAGTCTGAAGGACAGCTAAATCCCCTTCTGCAGTGAACATGAATGTGAACCATGACCTTGATGTTGTGCCATGCATATTATAAGCACATAGTCTCATGATACATATTTTTTGTGCCAAGTTATTTAAAATCTTCCATAAAGTCAAAATGTTATGGAGAACATTTAACCTTGACCTTGGAGTAGCAACCTGGATGTTGATCATCTTAAAAACATTGCAGCGGTTTAAACGTTATGGAGCGGACACGAAATGTAACTTTATACTATATGTTAAATAACCAGGTCCCGTGATTTAGGATTAAGATCAGGATCAAATAAAAAACTCTAATATTCTTCATTGTTTATCCTCATAGATTAAATATCTATTATCAATTTGATAAAACTGAATTTGCAATAGCAAGTTTATGAAATTTTAGAATGAATGTATTGTTATTTTTACAAGATACGAGTATTTTACAGTTGATTCAAATATTGATCCCGATCATAACGTTGATCCTTATTTTGATCCGAATAATTTTGTATATGTTTTGTTATTTGTTGATTTTAACCCAAAATAGTTTGCTTTCTTTGCAAATCAGCAATTTTACACATTTTGAATATTTACCATTTAATTCAAGCAAAACACGGTTAATTATTTTAACATCAAACAATGAAAACAAGAGGGCCGTGATGGCCCTGAGTCACTCACCAGAAACAACTGCTTTTCAGTAGTGTTGGAAATTATCCATTGTTAATATTTTCTCATATTAAATTTGAGCATAGAATATCTTATAAATAATTTAAAGAAATGCCATGACCTGGGGCATTGAAGCTTTAGCTTAAACGAGGCCAATCAAAAAATATGAGCAAACGTGATAAAAGACTACCTAAGAATGCTACAGACAAGGTTTGGTGAACATCCATCAATTATTTCAGTAGAAGATGATGTTCAAAGGTTTTCCTATTTTAAGCTTTATCGGCCCCTAAAAGGGGCTAATCAAATTGATATGAGCAAACTTGATAAATGACTACCTAAGAATGCTACAAACAAAACTTGGTGATCATCCATCCATTAGTTCTGAAGAAGAAGACATTTAAAGGTATTTCTATTTTTAGCTTTAGCAGCCCCTATAACTTACCAATAAAATTAATATGAGCAAACTTGATAAAAGACTACCTACCTAAGAATGCTACAGACAAAGTTCGGTGATAATCTTTTAATTATTTCAGTGGGAAATAATGTTCAAAGGTTTTTCTTTTTTTAGCTTTAGTGGCCCTTAAAAGGGGCCAATCAAATTAATATGAGCAAACTTGATAAAAGACTAACTAAGAATGCTACAGACAAAATTTGGTG